TTAGACTTTATAAAATATACTAATAATTCATATTTATATATTTAAAATATTTAATATTTCTTATAAAAACTTTAAGCCTATTTTTGATCGAAAAAGACTAAAATATTAACCGTGACTATTTTATTATTGATAAGTTTTTTGATAATATACACTAGACAAGGCTGAAGACTGAAGTCGTCACAAGCTCCAACCAAAAGTTGAGAGACCCTCAGGAAAAACAACTCACATGGTGGGGCTCGGTCTTAAACAGTACACCATAAATGTCTTTCGTTTCTTGGAGATAATTACAGTCTTTGATCTCCTTTGATACTATTAGAGCTTTCATTATGGCGTTTTCGATCGAAGTTCCTGGTGAGGCAGCTCCTCTTAATCCTCAACAGGTGTATCTAGCCTTGCAGTCGGCAGGGTCCTCTCAACAACTAGCTATACAAACCGGAACACAACAACTTGAAGCCTGGAAGACACAGAGAGGATACTATACTTTACTGCAGGTAGTTTCTCCATGTTTGTTTGGATTTGGGCTTCCGACTAATGCTTTCCCATAGGCAGTTTATCTCGATAAGTCCCTACCCTCCGAAATAAGATATCTTGCGGTCATACAATTAAAGAATGGCATCGACAAATACTGGCGGAAGACAGCTCTCAATGCTATGAATGCGGAAGAGAAAGAGAATATTCGATCACGTTTGCTGGATAGCGGATTCGAGGAAGCTGATCCACAACTTGCTTTACAAAATGCATTGGTGATTTCGAAAGTAGTCCGAGTGGATTATCCTATGGATTGGCCGGATGTCCTTACGAATTTAATCAGGATGCTTCGAACGGCAAACGAAACGAATCAACTCCATCTACGACGAGGAATGTTAATATTATTACAGATTGTGAAAGAATTGGCTACCGCACGATTAAGGAGATCGCAAACAAGCTTACAATCGGTCACGCCAGAAATGGTATTCTTGCTGGGCAGTATTTACACCCAAAAGGTTTCACAATGGCTTAGTTTCTTCACCGAGAAATCTTTAGATGATCAAGGCGGAGCTTTAGATGCCATGGAAAATAGTCTGATTGCGATAAAGATCCTTCGAAGACTACTTATTGTGGGTTATGAATATCCAAATCATGATAAAGATGTCCAGCAATTATGGCAGCAATCGCAGCAACAGTTCGGGCAGCTTCTCACAATAGTAAATGAAGAACCAGCAGTTTTGGCGTCTCCTGCAAAAGAACTGGCTGAGAAGCATCTCGTCCAATTTGCAAAACTCCATGTGCAAATGTCAAACACACATCCTGCTGCGTTCGTACTCTTGCCTAACTCCATCGATCTGGTAAGGGCATATTGGGGGTTTGTTGCTAAATTTGGAGACTCTTACGGATCAGAAACACATGATTTCAGTTCTGAGGCGTTGGCAGCTGATGATGGGTCTAAACAAGATAGACCAATCATGGAAAAGCTATGTCTAAAGGGTCTGACACTTTTGCGAGCTTGTATGAAAATGGCTTTCAGTCCAACACAATCGTTCAAATACCGAACTGCCGAAGTCAAAGAAGAACAGCAGCAAGCTGTTGCATTCCTCAAAGCGCAATTGCTTACCGAACAATTAGTAGCCGAAATGGCAAGTGTTATTGTTACTAAATTCTTCGTTTTCCGTCAAGTTGATCTAGAGTCCTGGGAAGAAGATGAAGATGAATGGGAGATACGCGAAGAGGGCGGCGGAGATACTTGGGAATTTGAAGTTCGACCTTGTGCGGAGAAGCTATTCATGGACCTCGTTATCAACTTCAAAGATCTTCTGATGGCACCATTGCTACAATATTTTCAGTCTGTTACAGGTAGTAACGGGAATTCTGTTGTCACTAAAGATGCTGTATACACTGCCATGGGATTATCTGCTGCCGTTATCCATCAAAGTTTCGACTTTGATACATTCCTTACGTCAACTCTAGACAATGATGTTCGGCAAACCGGCCAAGGCTGGAAGGTACTTCGTCGACGCATTGCTATTCTTCTTGGCCAATGGATCCCTGTCAAAATATCACAAGCTAATAGGCCATTGGTATATCAAATCTTTCAACATCTACTGAACATTGAAGATGAGACAAATGATCACGTTGTTCGCATTACTGCCGCTCGTCAATTTAAGGCAGTTGTTGACGATTTCGATTTCCAGGTTGAATCTTTTCTACCATATGCTCCTAACATTCTTGGTCGCACTATGGATTTGATTCAGGAGGTTGCAAACACGGAAACAAAGTTAATGATATTGGAAACGATCCGAATGATTGCTGTCAGGCTGGACACTCATATATCTCCATATGCCGATGAAATTGTTTCTATTTTGCCCGCTCTTTGGGAGGCTTCTGGAGAAGAACACCTTCTCAAACAGGCTATATTAACAATCATGTCTACTCTCGTTACTTGTATGCAAGGAAAATCTGAACGATACCACTTGCTAATTTTACCTCTAATTCAACGTGCTGTGGAGCCCGGTTCAGAAATGCAGGTATACCTCATGGAGGAAGCTCTCGATTTATGGTCGCAAATTCTTGCGCAGTCGTCATCACCAGCCTCCCCTGAAGTCCTAGCTCTTGTGGACTGCGCCTTCCCTTTACTCGAGATCGGCTCCGACAACCTTCGGATGGTCCTTAACATTGTGAATCAATACATTCTATTAGCACCGGAAACCATGCTCGGCGACGCGACCAGACTTCGCATTCTCTTACACATGGCCAATCTTTTGGGAGTCACGAAACGCGACCTCGCTGGAATAGTCACCACAACCGTCGAAGACTTGATCCGCGCTGCTGAAAAGCTTGGCGGCTCAAACGGCGTAACACAAATCACGAAAGATCTTCACGAATCCGGCTACACGGAAAAGATATTCTCAGGACTCCACGACGCATGGGAAGCTCATCAAACTACCGGTCCCGACCGCAAGTATCCAAAATTAGACGACGTAGTTGAAACAGACTACTTTACCATTCTCGCCCGCATCGCACTCGCAGATCCGGCCGTCTTCGCTAACCTCCTTGCCAGTATGGATAACGGCAACCTTGAACATATCTGGAAATGGCTAAGCGAAGAATGGTTCCGTCATTTCGACAGTATGGCAAACATAGAACGACAAAAATTATCTTGTCTCGCCCTGACCCGTCTCCTCGAACTCCCTCCCCCCATGACTCCGATCATACTTTCGAAACTTCAAGATTTTTTTGCAATGTGGACAAGTGTCATCAATGAAATGATGGCGGGTAGAGATGATATTGGAGGGGATAATTTGATTTGGGGGGAACAGACTCCATATGCAGGGGAGAGTCAGGAGGACAAGAGAAAAAGGGAGTGGAAGATGGTGGATCCGATTCATCAAGTTAATACATGGGAGGTTGTTAAGGGGTATTTGGGAGAGGTAGTGCGGGTTTGTGGAGGTGAAGAAATATTTCAGAGGGATTGGGCAGTTAATGTTGATAGGGATGTACTTGATGGGTGGAGTAAACTGGGAGAGAAGACTGAACATGAGTAGGTGAAAAGTGGGAGGGATAGAAAGTGGGGGAGAGCAGAGGAGACGAGAGGTTTGGAATAATGAGGCCCAGAGGTAATGGATTCAGAACCAAGCAACACCCGTGATTTGACATGTCAGGTAGAGCGCTTAATAGAACAACATAGCTTACGAAGACTGAGATGGAGACTGCGAAGAATCGTATAAGCGAGCTAGAGACTAGAGACTAGAGTACTGTAGATATTAGATATTGAATATAGGTAGATACCCTTATAAAAATGCAATGGAAATACAATTTTAGATCTGAATATACATGTGTATGTATACTCACTCGAGTAGATACTACATAGGCATGTATATATATATATATATACGAGTACACATACGAGTACATATAAAGAATAGAGAAGTTAAGATAAATTCATTCAATGAATTACTACACTACATTAGTGATTATGACCATCCCCCAACCTCCCCCCTGCTCTCATCTCTCCTCTCTACTAATTAATCAACTAACTAACTAACTAACTAACAAACTAATCTAGTATTCCATTCTCCATTCCCTATTCCATTCCCCATGGCCATGGCTATCTAAACCTAACCACATAACCATCTATCCCTTCCTTCCTCCCTTCATTTATCTATTAAAAACTATCTTATCTATTGTTACTGATTGTTTGTATCAAAAAAAAAGACGCTATGAGGGTATGTATTTATGTATGTATGTATATGCAAAAGGGGAAAATGTACGAAAACCGACTCCCACCCCAAACCACGCTCAAAGACAACGAAAGAATACGAATACGGGGCTTTGTATCCAACGTCTGTATTACATTACTTGTCATGCTCATAAAATATTATTTCCTCTTCCCTCTTATCTCCATCATCTCTCCATTATCATATCTCCGTAGTCTTCTCCTTCCCACCCCCCTCCTACAACCACCCTCCCCTAGTGCCCTAATGAAAAGCCAACCTCACAATACTAAACAGCATATTCTGCAAAACATGCACCATAACCACCACGCCCGTGGGCAAAAGTTCCGGCCAACTACCCAAATCCCTCTTTCCTTCCCCCGTCACATCCATTTTCCATCCAAACCACAGTATCCTCCTAGTGATCCAACCCGCGACGATCTCACACGCCCACGTCACGACTGATGCGTAGAAGGTGAGGCGGAAATCGTATTGGATGTTGGGGTTTGGGGAGACGGGCAGGTGCACGGGGGTGTGTGGGATGTGGGGCATGTGGGGGATGTTGAGGAAGAGATGGGGAGAGGGGGTGTTTGATAGGGTTTGATTGGTGGGTGGGATGATGGGAGTATCGAACGCGAAATAGGGGTATACGTCTTTATTGGCGCCGTAATGGAGGACGAGGATACTTCCTAGGAAGGTGAGCATGGAGACATTTTCGCTTAAGCCTCGAAGAAAAATATTTCGGGTGCAGAATTTTTGGTAGGCGGTGTAGGACTGGCCATTTAGACCGAGAAGATTGAGGAGAGAGTGGAAGGGGGCGGAGATGGTGAGGGGGGCCAGGAGAATTAGGAAGGAGGAGGACATTATTTGGAGATAGATAAATTGTTGTGGTGAGCGAAGGCGGGCATATAGGGCGCGTACGTAGGTCTGGTAAGTTAAAGCAAAGTATCTATAGGATGGGTATTAGTAATCTTTCGATGGGATACAGATAATAGCGCATCTTACAGCTTAAAGATCCAACCGAGGGGGTAACTCCCTACTCTCTCTCCTTCGTTACCCCCTAAGATCCACCCACATAACCCATCGAGCAAATGTACCGTCACAACCCAACTGTAAACGTATACGAGAGTTTCAACGGTGCTGTGCGGTAATGTTCGCAAATATGTCTCGGCATAAGTTTCTCCCAATAAGTAAGTCAATATACCTATGAGTAAAGCGGCGCAAAACCACATAAATCTTACGAAACTCGCTGGAAGCCAACGTTTCCTCAACATACGTTGAGCATCTCTCGATCTATATATATCGTCTGATGCTAAGGCGACCTCCAAAGAAGCATTTGGATCGAAAGTGTTCTGGCTTCGGCTAACGTTTGCTCTGCGTGGTCGATCTCTTGCATTAATGGTTTCAGTGTCACCTGTCCACCACGAGGAAGTGAAGAGTCTTTGAGTTTCAGAAAGAGGAATACGTAGGCCGAGGTGCCGTTCATGGTTGAGGAGGATAGCAAATGCAACTAGTAATGGCATGGCCATGGCGAAGAATGTCCAGCATATCCACGCTGTATTATGTGATGTGATATATCGAAGTTCGGGTATACAATAGAAAGGTATTGGAGCTGCTATAGACATGGCGGCGATAATGGAAACTGTGATGGGGAAACCAAGACTTTTAGGCCACCTGAAATAGGTTAGTGTATGTAGCATGTAGCTGTCTAGACTCTAGACGGATGAGTTTCGGATGTACCAATTCAGCGAATAGATGTTGAAGACTTTCGTGATCCACATCAATGCTGTTATATTATAGAAACCATAATATACGAATAGGAAGAACCAAAAGTTTATCTCAACTCTAGCTTCTCCGTGACCAGGTATCTTGTGTCCAAAAGTATTCGATGGAAAACCCTCCACGTCGTCATCGTCGGGAAATTCGTATTGCGGGAATGGTAGCGCACACCATGACACAGCCTAGTAGTTAGTTCCAGTTGTCAGTATAGGTAGGCTCTCTAATATGTTTGTTCATCCGCAACTTCAATATTGGCATTTTGAGATATGATAGCTTTCTCTCGTACAAAAGGACTCACCAACGCAGCCGGCAATACGACTAATACAGTCCATCTGCTCCACCACCTATCTACTGCCTTGGCTACAGCACCTTGCCTAGGTTCCAGCCAAAGATCCTTCATCGACCTTCCCCACCTCTTCATTATGCCAAACTCTTCCTCGTCACAACCATCCACTTCTCCTTCATCATCATCATCTCTCCCCCCAAAGGCCCCCCCAAACCCTTCTACATTAAATCCAAGCAGACTTCTCCTCCTTCCTCCACCAAGTCTATGCGAATCTGGCACTGCACGAAATCTACCAAGGAGTGGTGAGTTCTCATTGCTGAAGCCGCGCCTTTCACTACCTTGTTGGAAAGTAAAGAATGAAGGCATTTAATACATGCCAAAGTTTATAATGTATTGTATTATACCGATACGTTTAAAACTTGGTTTATAATATGAAAGAAAGTGAAATACTGTATGCGAAAGAAAAGAAAATTCGTTAATATGTACATACAAACACTATTAAGAGTCTGGGGTGGGATGGTTGGTATTGTATAGTATTTCTCGAGATGTTTATAAGTTGACTACCTAACCTTACATTAATTATTTGACAAGGCTGGCCGCCAGAGCCGGGTTTTGTCTTTTAAACCTTGATAGCGCGATGTCGAATTTCCTTATCGGGTGAGACTTTCTCCAAAGTGGGAGGATGGTAGGCTGGGCTGACGATAAGGGAAAATTTTAATAAGGAAACTTTTTGATGAGCTGTACAAATTTGGAAGGGAAATTGAGGTTTAGGATTGGTGATGTTTTCGAATTTGAGGAGGGAGGGAGAAGATCAACTCATCATAAGATCTTCATTCACACCGCTTACTGGAGAGTTCCTATGAATGTTTGAAAACGTGAAAGTGTAACTGAGTAATGAATGATATGATGATATGACAAGATATGGTAAGATATGGCAAGATTGATTGATTTGTTAGATATATGAGAATTTAAATGGTTACGCATTTGGTTCTGCGATATTCTGATCCCGTAGCATATACCAAAATCTAGAATATTATCCAATATTAATCCGATATAGACGGTATCGAGATATTATTCTGTCCAAAACCACCATAATCTCCGCTGAACGAGTACAGTAAAGTACTCGGTATGCAAAAGCTCCCCCTCTTTCCCCCCGCGCTTGTAACAAGAACCCCCTCATCGAAGGAGCCTTGTAATGCAATGCTGTCTATGATGAATTCCCGACACCAACGCCCAACGAAATCTTTCCTGCAGATGGATTCGTGACTTTGATTTCTCATCTCCTATTTAATCGCGTAATAATGTTGCGACAAGAGCGTTGAGCTTGTCACGTCCTTTCAAGAAATCCAATTCCAAAATGAATAAATATCCCATGCAGTTTCCTCCGAGCTTTTCGACGAGCTTTCCGGCAGCCTGGGCACTTCCTCCTATAATGAAATGTCAGCAAAAGTATTCGTTTGAACCAGTGCAACATAAGTCTCGCAGAGATTCCTTGGAAATGGTTGACTTACCAGTAGCAATAATATCGTCTACCACAAGTACTGATTGCCCAGGCTTGATCGCATCCTTTTGGATTTGGAAATAGTCTTGACCATATTCCTTGTCAAAAATGGCTTCCTCGGTAGGTCCAGGAAGCTTTCCCCTCTTTCTGACGGGAGCAAAGCCAGCTCCTAATCGCAAAGCCAGGGAAGGACCAAAAAGAAATCCTCGAGCATCCAAACCAACAATGACGTCTGGTTTCTTTCCGCCGTTAACAAGAAGGACCTGTAATTCAAGAGCGCGGATCAAAGATTCGTGGAGATCGTGGGAAGCGAATAGAGGAAGAATATCAACGAAGTCGATACCGGGGATTGGGAAATCAGGAAAGTTTCGTAGAGCCTTGCGCAACTTTAAGGTGACGCTGGTGAGTTCGGAGGAACTGGTGGTGGACTCGGACTCTCGTCTCTGGGAGGCATTCTCTGTAGTGAGCTGTTGGTTTGACTCTGGGGTTTGTGGGGAAGTCGACATAGTGAAGAAGAGAAGAAGAAAAGCAAGATTTCAAAAATGGTTCGGTGTATTGGTTGGTATAGATAAAAAAAAAAACTTGTATGTACGGAATATGCGAAATGCGGCGGCCCTCGGGAAACTACTGGTTAGAACAAAAGTTGGAGGGGTATGGTTGTTGGTGCGTGCAAGGGCCCTTGTGCAGGGACAAGGGAAGGAATCAGCAAATAGGGTATCGGTAAGTGATGTGAGTGATAGCAACTCCAAAATCTAAATGCAATGCGGCCAGAGATGACTTGGTTGTTGGGTGGTATCCTGAATCGTGTGCGGGTTGATGCTTGTATTGAATTGGCGGTGGGGGAGGGGGGAGGGGAAGGGGGGTATTGAAAGGAGAAGAAGGGTTAGATGATGAATGTGAGGAGGGGTTAATCATAGATGTGAATGGATTAATTGGAAATTACTTGATTTGTGGCTAAACCATCTAGATAAATATGCTATTTCTATTTCATAAAAGTATAAATTATAGATATAAGGAGAAGTGACAGAAAAAAGGGAAAAAAAACTACTCGATTTAGGCTGGCTATTTAGACTTGATATTGCCATTTTACAAAAAGTATAGATTCTAGATGCGAGGAGGGGGTCAATGAAGAGTATACTTAGTCAACTACTCGAGTATACTCGTAGTATGTACCGGTATATCATCGTATTATCAAGTATGATGGTGATTAGATGGATTTTGGTGATAATAGTAGATAAAGGGTATGGATGATGTATCTTTTCCTAGATTTCAATATAGAATAGTGTTCATATATAATTCAGGGGGATGAAGATGGATGTGGGTGGGTATATCTCTTTTCAAACTTCAATACAGCATCTACTCGTATATACCTAACTCGTACTCGAGTAGATACTTCAACCTTTGGATATGTGACTAGCTCTTACGTTATAGCTGTCATAACTCGTGGAAATTGTTGTTACTGTTACTGTAATATTCTGTGCACTTTTATGTGCTAGCAATATGTTCACTTCCACATATTACTCGAGTTATCGAGTATCTACTCTAACGAGTCTAAGAGGAAGAGGATTACAATACCGGTTAAAGAAAGTTAATAATGGAGGGGTAAATTTCCTAGGTAGTTGTGAAATTGTCTCAAGGTGGGGTAGCGGAGGGATCGAGTCATGACTCCGATTGGATAATGATAAGGTTAATAATTGGACTCGAGTATACCTGATTTATCGAAGACTACCTTGAGTTAGTCGTTTGCTTGTCATTCATTTATCATTGACAACGCATCCTCTACATACAGAAAAGTATCATTCCTACATACATAATTACTTGCATAGTTTCACGGATAGAAAGTCTTCACCACAGTGACCACACTTCACCAGACTTCACTACCACAACAACAACTTCCCCACGCTTTCCACAGTTACATTCGTATGCATCCCCATCGAGATCTGTTGGGATTCTATTTTATCCCCTCCCCCTCCGGTAGATCAATATCACCTCGACTCTTTAAGCCATCACACATTAGCCATCATTGTTTCAATATACTAATCGGGCCTGTCTATCACAGTGCCATCGGCCGCTCTATCCAGGTTTATCAGACCCGGAATCTCACCCCACCAGTAGCTTTTCATTTGTTTCCACACGTCTACCTAGATCCCAAGTTCATGAAAGATTAGGTGGATAGAAGTATTGGGCCACCACAGCCGACAGACTTGATGAGGTGATATCAATATCCAATCACAATTCTAAGAGGTCGACAAAGATGCACTCTTCTTGATGGATGGACGGCCAAACCCCAATATTGCATGAACTTTCGGTATCTTTCACATGTTTACTGGACAAGGTCATTTAAGATCACATCTATACAAACGTCTCCAACCTCTTGACTGCCCAAAACATGATGGGTATGAGATTGTTACTGGTAATCATCGGCAACAGTAGTTTCATGTATTCAATTTGTCTTCTGTTTTGTGCTATTTGGCCCCCGCATTAATCACAACATACATGCCTAGACTATCATGAAGCACAGCAAGATTCTCCATGCCAAAGACTGTTGTTCACTGTGTTCAATTATGGTATCCACGTCAGGAACTCACTGACGACGTTACTATCATGCATGAGTTCCCACAACACCACATATCTTATCGATAAGCCTACCGTGGTACAAACTATGTCGCGCTTCAACACATTCCTTGACCGCTCATATTACGCAGTAATGGATTCCAAAGAGACTCGAGAGCGGTTAGATGTTACCCGGAAGAATACGAACGAGGGGCACCTTGGATAAGTGGATTGTTGTTACCCCAAGAGGTAATGAATGGTCTAGACTCATAAGGAACCACATTTCGCTCGGACTCAATCGGCCATTCTCTTCCTTGAAGACTAAAATCTTTACACACATCTTTTTGAGGATAAAGCTTTCGAAACAACCACAAATCAGCCTTTGCCGGCCATTGTGTCTTGTTGGTTTCTTCCACAAATTGGGCATTCAATCATAACCTATCAAACGGAGGACTTGACTACACCTCCACAGGTTAATTTCTCGACTTCTAAAAATATACCACCTGCATTGCCTTTAGTCCACCACAAAACTTAAGACACAAAGATCTACGACATCGGAAATTCGAAATTGGACCTTGAAATGGCCGGACAACTACCGGCCGGTTAAGATCACAAACCAGTACAGCAAAACACAGCACTCAACAACGAAAAGTAAAGCATTTGATGTTCAAAACATGAAATGTCAAGAAGCGGTAGAGACTTCCTGTATTCCATAGTACAGTAGTACCTGCAGAGATGATCATATTAGCGCTGTGTTTTCCATCATTCTTTGTTGTTATTGGCTCAGCCAGTGTTGAGGCAATGTAACTTTCCATACAGCAACGGAATATTGGCTGCAGGCTCAATCATCATATACTTCAAGTGGGCAGTATTCCGAGTGGTTAAGAAGATCAAAATTTCCCGATGGTGTGAGAGGTCGTTCAAGTGTTTTGTCCTCGCTCAATCAACTCGTCAAAAAGGTGGAAGTTGAACTCTGTGTTTTCTCTCGTGCATCAAGATGTTGTGATCAAGGACGTTGAAGATGAAAGCCGACCTTTCGACGTTCTTGAATTGTGTTTTCACTATTCACAATCGATTGCTAAACACATGTGCGTGTTTCTCGGGAATGTATGCCAGAGACTTGAAGAAGGTTGGTTGTGTCATGACTACAGACTAACCAACTTATGAATCGACTTACCTTGTCTTTGCTTCAATTATTTTCTGGAAATTCCATGATGTATTTATCGATGTGTATAGTAAACATTGAGCATTCAAAAAGCATCTTGACAATTGATTAATTGGACAAATTTGATCGCCTCTCGTGTTTTCACTTGGTCAATTTGTATTTTTGTCACATTATCGAATTGGCAAGGTTCTATATATGATGTGCCAAGATCAGCCTGCGAGTGTCGAAGAGAAGACTTGAGACCGCTGATGGCTTTTAGCAGCAAGATTGTTTATTAGAAGAACATAGCAATGCCTTCAGTTGAATGCCTGGTCCATACAGAGTTGCAATAGTACACCTTGTCTAGAGCACAGGTCCTGCTTCCGAAATTTCTTCGAAATGAGCCATTTTATCCTAGTCTTTTGCGTAGAAGTCTCAGCCTTACCGTGCAAGGTTGTAGTGACCGACGTTCTCTACTAGAAACGAATTGCGCCTGGAATGGCCCCGCTTGATCAGTAGATTCAGTAAGAGGGGTAGTTGACGTCTTAGTCAGGAGAATACAAACTGTAGCTCCTCCAAATGTTGGCCAGATTTTTACATGGACCCCCTCACATCCTTCTAATCGCTTTGTTTTTATCAAGAAATGAAAGACCCCTCTTCTTCCTGACCCGCTTTTTCATTGATTCCTCTGAGTTCTGGTTTTGACATGTTCTTCAGAGGTACTGCGTTCTCTTTCTATTTTCTGCCATTCATACTTCCTCAATCTTGGCAATGAACAACTCCCGGAGACCATCTTTCGAATATCTACCCGGTATTTGGATTCCGCTCTCAGATGGCGAACTCCATGTGTCAAAGCATCGGTAGGGATGGCTTGAGACTTTGTTCCGCGTACGATTATGAGAGCGAAAGCTGCCATTCCCTCCTTCGTTCAAAAGAAAATATTAATGATTGGCAACCATGAGAACGCTGATGATGGGATATGGGCAGATAACGAACATATCTGGTATCAATGTGCTGGCGGGGCATGGTTCATTTTCACTTGCTTGGAATATAATGTTGATCGGCTAAATTATTGATATATTGCACCGTGGAGTGGTGGTCAGTTTTAATACAGCTCGTGGTAGCAGTGTAAGAGGTCAGCCATTGATCGCGACTCCAGCAGTGACGTCAATGTGGATTAAGCGAGCGTTACCTTCAAAATCGCCCATTGGGAGGCCACGTTAGTCTTTGATAGCCGAACGTAGGGCTTTGCTTTGGGGGCTGCTTCGAGCCTTTGGCAATCTTTTAGATTTAGGGTGCAGGACGGGAGGAAGAAGTCGTCGGAATTACTGGGAAAATCCCTATGGCAGTTTCTGGGATATTGACCTTGAGCTTGTAGATGCCTATCGTCTGGAGATCTCTCGATTATGACTTTGACATGGTTTTGGCGAGAACGATAGAGAGATGTGATTTACGTCTTGCTGATAAGCTCAAGCTCATCAATTGTGTTCTATTGGGCGGCAACGGCAAACCTAACATGTTTGGGCTGCTTGAAGTGACTGTAAATCTGCAGGTAGATGGGTGCAGCACGGTTGTTACTAATATCGATTCGAGAAATACCTGACTGGGTCGGTTTAGGAGCACATGAGTACCTCTCGAGTCCGAATTTGATAAGGTCTGCTTTGTGGTGTAGATGGTGTGGTGTTATGAAACGCACCAAGCTCTCAAGAGCAGAACAACAACGTCACCAACACTTGAACGGACGCAACAAGGCTCGTGTCCCACTTGAGGAGAGGAACAAACGGATTGACACGATGAATATTGTGGTGATAAAAAGTAGTCGAAACGTATTAAGCAAGAGTTGCAGGTAGAATTGTTGAGATTTTCCAAATTGTTGCTCTTGAGCAAATTGACGTCGTCTTCAATGCATGCCATAAGAGCTTTGGCGGACACCATGATGTTGGCGGAACTCATTCAATTGAGTGAAACCAGATTGCTGATATTGAGGAATTCAAAACTTAAAATTGCGGTTGAAGTCCTGGGAGCTTGTGGTTGTTGTGAGAACTTTTTTCAATCTTTAAATATCAGCGGGATTTCTCTTCGCGCTTAGTCTATCGAGGTCGGATTGGTGGGTTGCAGGATGTGCTGGGGTGCCGGTGTTGTTCGAAAACTCGCTTGGTTTGTTGGTTTTAGGTGTAGTAGTAGTAAAATTCATAATCGAGTTGATCTACATATGTTTTAGGTGTATGTATGTCTGACTGACGCCTTCTTAGTGAGCTCTGCCTTTTTTGTGGCGATTAGCTATATGGTCATGTTTAATTTTCTGATTTGGCTAGCACGTTGCTTGGAGGCATTCTGATCACCTTAGTTCCTAGTTCCATTGGATGATCAACAAGGGATTGTCGGAGAAGGGTGAAGATCTGTTGCAGTGCCTAGAAATGGAGTTCAATTGCTGGCAAGGTTCGTTATCCCATTATCCAGACTTCGAATACGGTATAGGTATGTGACGAGGTGGCTGAGGCATCTGTGGTCCAAGTGGATGATTTGATGTCGTTAGAAAAAGTGCGAGTAGTACATTGAGCTCTCTTTACGGGATGAGCTTGTGTTCTAGCATAGAAGAAATGAAGTTTGGAGGTGGCAAAGTGCCTATCTCCTCTGCAAGATCGAATAATCATCCATGAATTCGAAGATCTTCATTGCGACTGTATACATTTTTCCTCGATTTGAAAGACTGAAAAAGTTGATAATAATAGTAAGCTGCTGGATCCTATATTGTTTGAGCTGATTGAATAGGAGGTAATGTTCAGTTCTGGTGTGAAATTGAAGGAATGAGGTACTGGAAGTCATGCCTTCGACTATCATTTGTTAGAGGTTATGCCGGCAATGTGGCGGAACATATGCAAAGACTTACTCCGAGCAGATTTTCATACTATTGTGTATAGCCCAAGTACCTCCTGCAGAAAGGTAAGGTGCCAAAACTTCGAAAGCTTGAGGTTCTTATTGAATGATTTTGGGAAGTTGGTCGGCAGATGCACTGTGCAATGAAATATTAGAAACTGATCTTACTACTGTACGTACACGAGTAATGCTAGAAGCAAAACTTGCAGTCTCTTTCCATGGGGCATATTGTAGTGGAGCAAATACTTCAGGTGAGATCTGAGAAACCGTGACATGTGAGACAGTGACATGTGAGACAGTGACATGTGAGACCGTGACATGTTGATTGGAGAACTCGTTTGAAGATGGAGAGAACTCAACTCCTCAGTAAACTATCATTTTTTTCCACGCCCACCGGGATAATTGAAATGTCAAGCAAGTAATGAAATTATAAATCAAGGATCACGATTTTGAAAGTGGAGGTATCACCATCGGAGGATGCCAAGATAAATCGCCTGTTGTTAGTTTCCATACCATGCAATCAGTCACAGTAAGTTGAGGAACATAAAAAGAACTCCAGTGTATCCATGATATATATGACGGTGATGAGAACATGATTTGAAGTCAATTCCCAAAGTCAATGTTTCGATGTTCGATTTTCGATATATGTTACCGGTTTTCACCATTTGGCGCAATGGAGGAATGGGTATAGAAGCTTTCTTGTGGAGTTATTCGTATTTGCTTGATTAATTTGATTTGCTACGTCTAGGTTTTACGTCTGTGTGGAGGCGTGATCTTCTTCTCACTATCACATCGGGCGTGATTAGGTGAACATTGTCACGGTCACGGTCACGGTCACGTTCACCGAGACCAGATGCTCCTTGGGTACGAAGACTGGCTCTGTGTTTTTGGTAATGTGGAAGGTAACCTGGTCGATTTGAAGAGGATTGATAATAAACAGAGCACACGTTTTGTTATGCTTGTTGTATGGTTCCTCCTAGTGTGCGATTCGTACCATACTGTTTTTATAATAGAAAGTATGGGTGGGGTAGTGGTTGGTGTTTATCTGTTGGCGAGCTAATGAGAGAAATAGCCAATTATAAGTTGATGTAGGAGAAGTGATGCTCAACTGAGAATTGTTGGGTGCAAATATATATTCTGACAGGTTTGCGATTGTAGGTGCAGATCTAGTCAAGAACCAGTAGTATATTGGGGCCCAAGGCCGGGAGTGTACGATATGTCCTGTTTTGCAAATGGTGGCGGCGTGGCGTTCACGGGAAGTGAGGAAGGGGTATCCGACTAGAAATTCTGTTCTGCATCTGAGTGCAGATTATCAAGCGTGCGTGAACAAGATGGTGAAGGTTTTGATGAACCATCTTGATCACAGATGCAGTTGAAAAGTGTGAGTATATCTTACACACGGTTGACGCTCAGTCTCATCTTCGAAAAGTAATAAGTCGTACTCGGAACTAGAGACCAAACTGCTTCATCAGAGGCTTCACAGTTATCTTTTGAACAAAAGATACATAGGCAGCTGTCGTAAAGACTTGGCCAAACGATTACCGTGGATAAGAATACTACTGTTTAAGACTCACTCAAACTGATGGTTCGACTAGTCGGATGTACGAGGGTTTATGTACAGGAAAGTGGAGTGCACTCTAGTGTCTGGTTCTTACCACATACAAAAATAGTGCACCAAAATCTACGCAGCCTAAGAAATTCCGGTAAAATGTTATGAGTTCGGTCCCGGCCGGCGTTAAGAAAATTCGAGGGAAGAGCTTGATTGAGGATAATGTTCACGGTAGCATATTGTGTGTTTCTCAGGAGCAGAGTCACGATACTAAATTCTGGAAAGTGATTGTTTGAGATTTGATTGGCAGGTACCGGTATCTTGTAAGGTAATGTGATGTAATGGTATAAGCTACTGGTTGAGTCTTAGTTTTGTTGTAGATGGCATACCTGTACTAGTTTGGTAAGCCATGGCAGAGAATTCGAGAGGAGTTGTTACCTTTTTGCCGAGGTGTATACAGGTTTCACTGGCGCGAGCACTTTGGTAGCCCCTCATTATTTTCTCTAGTTATCTTGGCGTAAACTTGTTTTTTTATAACTCGAAATTCTTAAAGGGAAAACTGTGGCTTCGAGTCTGGAGGCTACGAGTACTCGGAAGTGCTGTTTACAAATAAGAAGAAGAAGGGACGAGCGATTTGCTTGATATCGATCAGATTGCTGTTGGTCGTGGCATACTTTGGGATAATGAATTGAGTATTCCATTCACTCTCGATCTTGTACGTACAAAGATTGCATACAAGTAGAATTGAGTAAAAAGGTGATTACATAAAGTTTAATAATCTAGCTTATTTTGCATTACGAGATAATGCAGCTTTTGTGATTATGTACTCTTTTTGATGGCGCTTTTAGTAGTGTTTTTAGGAGTGTTTTTGGGGGTGATTTGAGTAGTTTTGAAATAAGTCTGGATATACAAATAGCTTTAACTAAAATCCTAGTAGATTGATTGGTTGCTATGATGATTCAGATCGGTGTAGTAAGTAGTTTGAACCAATCACGAAACTGGCAGTTTGAAAGGCTGATATCATAAACTATACTGCTAGTTTAATCAGTGCACTAGTTCAACTGGTTAACTTTTGAACCCACTGCCTCATATTTTATATAAAAATAAAGCATATGATAATGCAGTTAGCTGTGATTTTGACATGCTTGAACGAGTAATAAGGCACTGCTTTACGTGAACCGCCCAACCCTATTGCAGAGCCATAGTTGCCTGGTTTTACGGTTGTTGTAGAAGACCACGTAAGACTCAATGGTTTAGCGATGGAGGGTAAAAAGTAGGAGTTGGTGCCACACCGTAAGTTTTTTATTCAAGTCAGTCAGTACATACCTACTGATAATGTCCAGCTTGTAGTGAATAATTAAATGGCACTGGGAGATGATTTGAAGTTGTCCGCGAAAAGGAGTATGAGAAGAAAAGGAATGGCGCCAGCCAGAGTCAGCGTAGGATATGACTTCACAAGATTTTGAGTGGGAGGATTCGAGGGCGGAGAAATAACTCCAAGGAAAGGAATATGCAAGCTTGAAGTAAGAATTAATCCAAATGAGCAGTTTGTGGGATTTCTCTTTGAGGTTAGTACTCTGCTTAGTCGGGCAATCGAGTACTCTCACTGGATGTCCATACCCTGGAGGGTATCCTTAGCTTAGACAGAGTTTTTCTTGATTGAAATTAATTGATCTGCTCACTCTTGCTGTGGCTTTCTCATCTTCCTTTCAATAACAAAACTTTGACTGCCTTTCCATAGACTTTATTTGTCAAGTCACAGTCTTTGGTAAGGTTCTCTGTTCCCAATTCAAACTCTTTCAATCAATCTCATTCTATCTGCAATTGAAAGCAGACCCTTTTTCTATTGAATTGAAAGATCGAATCTGACTTCAGATCGAGAAAGAAACAATCCCTTTCCAGCAAATAGGCCATGTAGTTGTTGCAACCTTTTTCAGCTACTCCGTTCTCCAACTGTTCATCAATTTCTGCTGCCATCGGTCAAGCTCCAGCAGCTGCTTGGTTCAGTGATTTATTCCCATAGTAAGTTTAAATCCTTTCATGAAATTGAAATTGAATCTCATTTTAACATACCTTGCAGGTGGATATCCAAACTCTGGTCAACATCCAAATCCTGGAGCCCCAATTACTTCACCATCTAAAAAGCGTCCAGCAATCTCCATTTCTTTCATCGCAGCTACTGCGAAACGAGTCCGATTTCTGCACTACGCAGAATCAGATGGGATACCAACCAGCATACGCAGTGCCGACCTCTCAGGACAACATCGGATACTACACGCCAGTTGGCGAGGTAATCCAACCAGCTGAGATGGTATTGCGCTACAGTATACGCCTTGGTAGGTGGGAATTGTTTCTTTCAGGCCTGACCCGCCGCAAGCCTCACCTGCAGCCCTATTTACATCAGCCTGCAGGTGCTGTGCTGTGCCGTGCCGCGGTCTACAGATTCTTCTAGCCATGAATGGCCTTGCAATCTATCTCCGACAATTTGAGAGCGGTGGATGGACACCATCGTGATGATAGTGGTGTCCAGAATGGACCTTATCAGCATCGGGAATGGCTGCGCTCGTCACGACAGCGCAGCCAGCTGTCATGGAGAAGATAATCACGCTTACGAAGCCTACGATGGGGGAGTGGATTGGCTCACATCCCTCCTCCATCTTTCGACAACGTCAGAGCAAAGGTATGTATTGAAGATTCCCAGTGCTACTGAACATACACTGACTCAGTTGAAAAAAAAAGTGGTTCCCAGAAATATCACATCATGCACTGAGTCAGACTTTATACAGCAGCTTGCTATACTTCGCAGGCAGAAGAGCCAAACAGTATGGCTCGCGAAATGACAATGCCGAAGCTGCCAATGTGCAAGTATGTATTAGTAGCAATATATTTTATTTCCTGCAGCCGCTTCGGCGACGCTTCTCAATGCTTTTATTCGTGAAGCTGGTATTGTTGGCACTTGTAACAGTACACCTATGCATTTGACTATGGATGGCACCTTATTATTTCTCTTCAGAGAAAACTTCCGGTTCGATGTCGGAGGACAACGTTCGAAAAGAAAGAAGTGGATCCATTGCTTCGAAAATGTTACCACAATCCTATTCGTGGTCGTCATCTCTGAGTACAACCAATCTACACTGGCAATGCGATCGAAGTTCCAGTCAGGGCTGACACCACCCTTGATAATATAGTCGAAACATCATCGTACTCTGCTCAAACGTCCAAAGCAAGGGTAGCAAGGCTCAAGCCAGGAAACAACAACTCAACCAATCGACTCTCCAAGCTGTCCTCGGTTCCAAAGACTATCAGTCAATCCCATGGGACTTTTGCTCATTACAACAATTATCTGCTATGACAAAGACTCATTCAAGTTCCTAGAAAAGAGCCCATCGCACTCTAGAATCCATCAAACCTCTTGCCGTGCCCGCTCCGTTCCAAAGGCCGCGATATTCCCGCCACGCCCATCCCCAGTTCAAAATGCCTCGGAGCTCCCACCGATCCGCCGAACGAAATACTCTGACTTTCTAGAGCAAAATCAAGTCCACTTGGAGCGGCGTCGGTTGACTCAAGTCTCGATCACTTGCATCATTGACGAGGTTACCAGCGAACGACCGCTATGGCGTTTGAAGATATTTGTTGATCCAGTGCATCCACATGCACACCTCAATCACTCTGCAGTTTGCTGCTGCCAAATCCCCATCTGTGTACGACGTTCTTCAAAGGAACAGTTGAAGATAATTCAAGATGGATCGAATGGGGGAACACAGTGCTTGCTCCTCATCAAGCACTTACTGATTTTCCTGGAACCACTGGCTACACCTCTATGCTTAGAGGCACACGACGTTGACACTGGCATACGTGTTTTTATTACAGCTTAAGTCTCTTTATTGAAGAGATATATTGACTGGGTAAGGCCCACTTGGCTTACTCCCTTTTTACCACTGCTCTCCAAGCAAGCCAAATGGGCCTTACCCCGTCAATGTACCTACCTATACCGGCTGTGCAGGGGCATGACCCAGCCAGAACTACGGAGTTCCAGTACATTATCATTCACCAAAGCTGTTGCTTCCGGTGGCGCGCAAATTCTAGATGATATTTTCCAATCAATTGGACGTGCTCAATCATTCCAAAACTTTGAGTTCGAAAAAGAATAAGAAGGACCTTCCGCCTGAGGTCATGTTTATATTACAGCTTAAGCCTCTCTTCTTGCCAAGAGAAGCTCCCACGGGGAACTCTCATGTGAATCCCGCCTTACACTAGGTGATCTCCACTAGCCAAGCCGTCAATCCTACACCCTATCACATTCAACCTGGAATGCCACACGCTTTCGCTACTAAAGCGGAAGCTGTCGAAGAGGAGGAGCAAGAAGAAGAAAAGATTTACGAGACCGAGGGACTTGTACATGTGGCTATACGATTCGGGGTTTTATCGACAGCAATCTGCTCAGGGATTATCGTCCCCATCAAAAATTCAAACGAGAAGTCTCCATTCTTATGATCATCTGGTGACGGGGCTTTAGTGTGCTCATCTTGTGTGATGGGGCTGCAGCCTTCGAGTCGAGTGTCTCGCTACAAACTGTGGCACCGAATCCAACCTTTTAAGGGCTTGTTTTTAATACAGCTTAAGCATCTCTTTCGTCAGATTTTGCTATCCTCAATCCGAGAATGGCAGAGCTCTGGATTCCAAGAACAAGAAAAGAAGGTGAAGAGGAGCAAAGAGATGTCTCCAAGTTCTATAGCAGTGGAAGCTATATCAGAAGACAGCATTTACTCTGGTCTGAGTGAAATGCACAATCGTCTTTTCTTTTCGACCTCTTGACGAGAGCCGACTACCTGTTCAAACGTGGACAGGCAATGAAATTTCAGTGACCAAAGACTTCGGAAGATGTGTTCAACGTAGAAGAATACTGCTTCACAAAACTTGCCCTTTGGAACGATGTCTGATCCCCCTTCAATAATGCTACTGATATTTTCCTGGGGTGGAAAGGCCACTTATCTCTACGGATTTTCATCGATTCCTTTTGGAGACGGCCAAGTTCTCCCCGGCAATCTCGGTGTCCTACTTAGCTTGAAATAATATCCCGTTCCTTGTTCCAGTCAGAACTCCAGTCATTACTGAAGATCCAGATGAACAGCACTTGGAAATCAATGCGAGCCACTTCAAAAATTGAATTTGAAAAGTTTTTCATCAATCAGCCCATCATTTATCATCTACGAGGACCGTTACAGAAAAACTCACTTGAGCATATGGATCTCTTCAATGTATGTAACCACAACGGTAGACTGGAGGAGTATGAAATATCTGTGCACTTCACTCAGCCCGCAGGTTCATAAGCAAAATTAAGCCTTCTCAAAGTGACACTGCGTGACACATCATAATCCTAATCTCGGCCCATCACTGGTTGTCGACCAATCATTCTGTGTCACCGGTCCAATTATCTACCCACATTCCAGCATTCAAAACACATATGCCACTTTACAACTCCTCTTTGGCACACAGAGTAGTTGATGGTCATATTGTTGTAAAGAAACCTAGCATGTTTAGAGAAGCCAGCCAGAGATTCATAAGCATCCGATGAGAAAGTCGAAGCGCTCGCAGTATCCTCCGAGTCACGCGCAATTGCGCAGAAGGAATATAAACTCTGCTTTGGGAACGATATGCAGCTTCCTGTCCAGTTCAGATCTACATATTCAATACAGATACGTCAAGGCGCCCACTTGGGATGCTGGCCTTGCAGTGGTTTCAACGCATTGGCAGGATTAACTTATCGCCCAATCAAACATAATTGTATCTTCTCTCATTTACTTCGCATGGAATTAAGCGATAGAATATGAGCTGAAACCCTGCGCACGCCTCTTAACGAAGAAGCTTTGATTCCAGAAGCCTCTTTCAATAACAACTCTATATCTTCTTCCAGATAACTTTGTACAAGCGTTAACAACACTCTACTGAAGGCGTCTATGCTTACGGTACGCCCACCACGAACGCCTGAAATTTTCAGCTACCGCAGCGAGAACGGCACATGAACAAGGCAACCGCACCTGACCGAATCTTCAACTTTGGTGGTGGGCTTAAACTCGGAAAGAAATACGGAAAACCCACGCCCGTTAGCACAGCCATCCCGATAGTTCAGATTGTGGCTATACCACCAGCATCGTGCTTTCCATTCTTTGTACTCAATAAGACCAAGAAATGCCATCTAAGCGAAGATATAGAGCGAGATTTGTCCTGTCTGGCAAGCTTGCCATCGAGCTACGAAACAAGATCTGGGTTGCGAGATCCTTAACCATTCTTGTGGTGAACTCGCCGGGGAATGGTTCGAGACTGGGCGCAACAATTGGTAATACTGCCATATATTAACGCCATTGCTTTAGCTCAACAAACTCGCCATTTTGTGGCCGGGCCATAACGGACTTCAGGATGAAATGCATACCGACACCGCGTCTCGGAAAAGTTCTTCTGAAAGATAGCTTGACCGACTGATTTGAAGGTTCTTGATGGAGAGTCGCAATGGCTTCTCAGCTCAAGGCAATAAGACACCAATCACAATGTCACCAGGACTTCCAATCAGTCAGCTAAGATAACAACTCGAATACTGGAGAGCTTAGCCAGAATCGAGACCATGATGCGACAGATCCGTTGACCGTTACTGGTGGAACGACGAGAGCTGGTCGAGCTTGCTGCTGACAGCAGAAGATTCGTGCTTGCAAGCTGAACATACATCCGACCTTGATCTACGCAATTGAATTGCTGTATCAAAGCTAGATACAAGAACTAAATTAGTTCCCCATCTACTGCAACTCCAGAAAGATTTATCTGTCTTGATACATCCCCGGGAGTTTGAACGAGCACCGCGCACGTGAATGCGTGACACCATGGAAAAAGAGAAAGATACAGTATGGTAGCTGTATAATAGAAATACCTGTCATCAGAAATTAAATTATGATAATGAAGTCTGTCCAAAACGTCTGAGATTTGAAAAGAGAATACACTTGCACTTTACTTTTCAATTTCCTTATGATTGCCATCTTCTTGAACGTCCCTTCTCCGCCGCACTGTAGAGTAGAAGTCCGTGACCGATATTCCGTAACAGTAACTCATACACGTCTTTCAAGAGTCTCGATTGAAAATCCTAGACTCTCACTGTTGAGAGTATTCTTGAGGCCACAAAGGAAATCTCTCACTAGGAAAAGGTCTGATAAAATACCGGTAGAAGATCTGCGATCTTGATGGGTGATGGAGATGGAGACTGAGATAGGGACAAACAAAACTTTGTTGGTGCGAGACAGTGGGGCAATCTAGCCGAAGTTGCCGAATAATGACTGACCCCTGGAGCTGGTACTCAGTACATCTATTTGTATATTCAACTACAATCCCTCCTTCGTCCTAAACAGCTTGCTTTGATTTCCAAATCTTGGTTGTCAAAGTTTCATATCCCGTATCTTTCTATTGTCTAACAACGATCCCGACATTACATTCAACAGGATCAAGAGTTTAAGGTGCACATTACAATTTACAAAATTTTCACCCAAATCCGGTATCGCAAACGACGATAAAATAAAGATTACTGTGTCACGTTCTATTACAATTATTCTAGGCCAACCCAACCATGAGTCTTAACACCGAGTAAGTTATACCTTCCTCACTCACTCTTATCACCACAGAATCAATAAATAGCAAAGAATCCTCATCCTTCTCTACAAACTTTCTCCTACACCAGCAACCCCAAATACTAACCCACCACCCCAGCCTCCCCCCCATCCGAGCCTGTCTCTTCGACATGGACGGACTCCTCCTCAACACCGAGGACATGTACACTCTCTGCGCCAACCACGTCCTCCTTACCCACAACCGGCCCTTACTGCCCTGGTCCATCAAAGCGCGCCTCATGGGGGTCCCCGGCGGTTCCACCAGTTCCATCTTCATGGACTGGGCGCAGCTTCCCATTTCCAAAGAACAATATGCGCTTGAACAGCGCGAACAGCAACGCATCCATTTCCCCACTTGTAAACCATTGCCTGGCGTTGAGAAATTACTGCAGGATTTGAGCACAGCACGTGATGTGCGGGGGAATGAGGTGCAGATGGCGTTGGCGACGAGTAGTGAAAGGTATAATTTTGAGCTGAAAACGAGGGGGGAGGAGGCGAAGAGGTTGTTAGAAGTATTTTCTGAGGGGAGGAGAGTGTTGGGTGATGATGCGAGGGTGAAAAAAGGGAGGGGGAAACCTGCTCCGGATATTTATTTGTTGGCGTTGAGGTTGGTGAATGAGAGTTTGGGGGAGGATGAGAAACCAATAACGCCAGAAGAATGTCTAGTGTTTGAGGACTCAGTGCCAGGGGTAGAGGCTGGCAGAAGAGCGGGTATGAAGGTAGTTTGGGTTCCTCATGAGGGATTAGCGGCCGAGTATCAAGGGCGGGAGAAAGAGATATTGGCTGGGAAGATGGGGATGATGGTTGGGGATGAAGAACAGTTGGGGGAGATTGATGATGGGTGGGGACAATTTTTGCCGAGTTTAGAAGATTTCCCTTATGAAACTTATGGGATTGTTGTTTCATAGACTTGTTTCTTACGTGTAGACTCGGAGGTTTGTTGATAACACTAGAAGGCTTGTCAAGGACTTACAATCTGTCACGATGCTACTGTATAAAGTGATGAATAGGTAGAATTGGATGTAGAATGAACAGTTAGGTAGGGGGGAGAGGGCCCTTATATGCAAGGGGGTTTACGTCATGCTAGGCGTCATGCCAGGGGATTTGCCTCGCTTACAGTAATTTCGGAATAATCATAAAATCCAAGTCTAGCTTTGAGCAAAGAAATCCTGTCCATCATTCATGTCCATGAAACAAAAGGTGTAAAAGTCCGGATTCACACATATTACACTGATATTTAATTATTGATTCAATCATTCATTCAATCATCCTTCCACTCCCATGCATCTACCAGACCAATTTCAACTAGGTAGTGATCATGATCTACTACCTACATCAGATACGATCCATCTACAACCACTAAAACCACTTGCATCTGGGTTTCCACCCGCTTTGCTCTTATTCTTATTCACTGCCTTAAGGTCACTCAGGATATCTCAGTTGAATTGGTATCATTCATCCCACATCCCACCCATTCCGTCCATCAAACCACTCATCAACGTCACATGTCCTCATTCTCTCACCGCTCAAACCAAAACAAAACCATCAAACACGCCATCCATTCAGCCAACCATATTCGCATTAGTATTCATATTCCAACCCTGGATTCCTTCCCCCCCTGGAACTTCCTCTCCAATACCATGATAGATAACGCAATGCCCAAAACGCCATCGCTCCGCTCCGCAATGCCTAGGGGAATTCAGATGACCCACAATGAAATCTTCTGTTTTTCCAACTTCCTTCCTGCTTTATACAAGATACCCTTCCTTTTGATGTCCACTTGTCCATATAAACAACCCCCCAAATGCATGCAAACCTTCCCCTCCCTATGTCTTCGGCTGTAATTCTCCTATGCTCCCTGTTCTCTTAACCTTTGTTTCGGATCCATGTTATCTTGAAATTATATGATATCAACACATATCATTATCCCACCAACCCGGAAACTCAAGTCTCACAACAAGATCTCACAGATCCTCGGCTTACTCCTCGGCGACAAGCTCCTCGTCGCTCGGTCCCGTCGTTTTCGCAAAACCATTCACCTCACGCAACTCTGAAATTTCATTAGTCAACTGTTGCCCCTCGCCCGTGGGTGTTTTATTGGCATCGTCCAGATTCATTTGCCTAATCGATAAACGACGAGGCTCGTCCTTCAAGGTTCCATAAGGATCAAGAGCCGTGGGTGTAACCTGTCCAGACATTTCCAGTATTGGTGTCATGTTTAAAGGTGGTGCAGATGCAGAAGTTCGTTCATTGGAATCGTTAAAAGCATCTTTTAAAGCTGGGAGTGTATTGGAATTTGGAACATTTGGAACATTTGCTTGTTTTGCTTCTTGAAGAGCATCTCGCACCATCTTCTTGGCATCATCTGCGCTAAGATTTGAGAGTGAGAGCGGGGCCTGTGACTGACATGTTAGCCTTTCACTTTAATATATCATTTATGTAACTTTACCTGCTGAAGATATTGATTCAGTTTCTTCTTCAGAATACCCGATCGAACTGGTTTGGCCAGATAGTCATTCATACCAGAAGCCAAACACTTTTCTCGATCCCCTTGTATGGCGGATGCCGTCATTGCAATGACAAGGATACCTCTAACTGCATCAATCGGATCTTTGCGTAACAATTTAGTGGCTTCATATCCGTCAAGAACAGGCATTTGTACATCCATAAGGATGATATGATATGGGGTTCCTTCGCGAGCCTTTTGTCTCACAGCTTCCACAGCCACCAGACCATTTTCGTAAGCATCAATAATATTGAATCCCAACTTTTGCATGAATTGAATGGCAATCTTTTGATTGATAGGATTATCCTCGGCAATACAAATTCGTAAATCTTCTCGATTTATATGCGATAAATCGTTGAACTCGGTAACAGCCACTGGTTGTGTTCCTTGAGTCTCAATGGAGTTATGTACAAGTTCACGCGGAGATTCGTTTTGGCTTTCGCCAGCAGAAACCTCTGGATTGGCTTTGTTGAACGTTACACAGAACCAGACAGTTGTGCCTTGATTTTCCACACTCTCAAGTTCTATTTGCCCACCCATCATCGATTGAATGAGAGACTTACAGATACTGAGACCGAGACCAGATCCACCATAACGACGAGCTGTAGAATTGTCTGCTTGAGAGAAGGGTTTGAATAGCTTGAGAAGTTGTTGTTTTGGTATGCCGATCCCAGTATCTTTCACCCAAAAAGTCAACTTGACGGCATCTTTGGTTTCCCAATCAGTTTTAGCACCAACTGTAATAGACCCACTCTCGGTGAACTTTAAACTATTTCCAATGAGATTACCAAGGACTTGGTGGAGTCTGACTGGATCGCCATAGATCAGAGTCTGTGGAAGATTGATATCTTGGATGATTTCCACGTTCCGAGAACTCTTTTTGTCTCTATTACTATATGAAACAGATCGTACAACTTCTCGTATCATCTCGTCAGGATTGAATGCTACGATAAAGAGCTTCATCTTATTAGCCTCCATCTTTGAGAAATCTAGAATGTCGTTAATGACGGTGAGCAGTAGATCCGCAGAGACACGAATGGAGTCAGCCATCTCTGCTTGTTCTTTACTGAGATCACTATCTCGTAGAAGTTCCGAGTTGCCTACCAGGCCGTTTAATGGAGTACGTAGCTCGTCTGATAATCCCTCAAACATTAGCTAAAGTCATCATTAATAAAAAGACAAACTATACTTACGAGACACGTTTGCGAGAAAGATAGATTTAGCTTTGGCAGCTTCTTCTGCTAATTTAACATTACGAAGTGCCTCGGCCTTTGCCAAATTGGCGTTTGTCTCGGCCTCCAATGCTTTAGCCAAGGCCCTCCTCTGCACATCAACCATGGAATTGTTGAAAGCGGAAACCTTTTCCACCTCTTTCAAAGTCAAGGCATTGGAATAACTAATGCCGATTTGGTTGACAAGTAATTGAAGGACGGTAAGATTTCTATCAGTAAAAGCATTTGGGTGTCCCTCCAGGTAAAGAACGCCAAGCAATGGTTTGGTGCCATGGGAGATTGGAATGGCAATAACCGCTTTTCCAAGAGGGTTCCGAGTGTACCAAGCCGGATTGACATTACTGAATCTTTCATCGTTGATGAGATTAGGTAGGAATACGGTCTCGCGAAAACGCGTGCAGTAAAGCACGACACCTTCAGCTACCAAGGCCGTTTCAGTCAAGGGTAATCCGGGTATGTGAGCCACAGCACCTTTCTCTGGATTGCCACTGGCGGCTAAGCTCCAGCCAACAGGATCGTCTTCTTCGACAACGATTGCAGCAAGTGATGCCAAACCTCCACAATTCTGTAAAATGATTTCACACATTGTTTTAAGCAATTCATCAACCTGCAGCACACTAGAGATTACTTGCGAGCTTTCAAGAATAGATGTCAGGTCCAGCATATCTAGAGCTGGAAGGCCAGACCCTGCATCAGGTCTTGCCGAGCCTCCTTGCCAGGCACCAATTCTATCGCCTTTAGACTCACTAACGTTGGTATGAGCTCGTTGTTCCTGATCGTTCTCATCTCCCTCGAGAGTTTGATATGGTGCAGATGCAGAGTCGTCAGCAAAATCTGTTTGCGTGCCGGTTTCCTTATATCGAAGGTAGCGAGTGGGCCCTTGGAGGAGAAGACTATGTTCCATCTCGATATGCCTGGCAATCCCTCCTGCCCCAATTTTTCGGAAAAGCATATTGCTTTCTAACAAAGCCGCCTTTGCTGGTCTTCGAGACCCGGCGCGTAATAGAAAGCCCGCGAGGAGAAGGTTGCCTAACGCCTCCTCGAAAACAAAATCATGAGAAGAAGCATGGTCCAAAGCTTCTTCGTAATGCCTCAGTGCCCCTCCATGGTCATCCTCCATTTCAGATATCTGGGCTGCAAGCAATTTTGACCAAGCCAGGTAATTGACATCGGAAACAACCTGCCAGTCCTCGATCCTGTTCTTGAAATATGAGACTTTCTCCTTAGTAATGTTCAATGCATCATGAAAGTTCGAAAAATCAGAATTTCCGTCCAAGGTTTTGGTCACCAATCGAGCAGGATCCCCCTTCTTCGCCCACAGAGATGCAGCTAAGGAAAGGCCATGAAAGAACATACAAAAGCGGGTATTTCGTAACGACCACAGAGAATCTACTTGCTCCAAGAAGGCCTCGCCAAGAGTGATTGCTGTTTGATAATGGCCGAATAGAAATAACGTCACAATCTCAAACCCTTCGTAAATCATAATTGCACGGTCACTGTTGGTTAAGCTACTCCTTAGCCATGCTTTGTACAGCAAAGAATTATGCGATGCATCATTCAGGCATTCCGTCGGAGAATTAGTTACCGTTTTACCTTGCAGTGCCCTGCATACTTGTCGGAGAACAATAAGCATTGTTCCTCCTCTGCTGTCCACCTGCCAATCAGGCACTTCTTCGCAACCATAAGTACAGAAGGATTCAAGGTCTGCCAGATTTTCCGAAGCAAAAAACTTGAGTGTGGCAACGAAGCCGAAATTAAGAATCGTTGTTAACCTGTCGCCAGACTGAATAGTATATTCCAAGGCACCTTCCAATTGACCAACTGACTGAGAGAGCGGCCAGTGGATATGCCCAACGAAAAGCGAATAAATGGTACCGCCTCGGCCTAGGGTATAAATATCTCGCCATCGATTCATCAAAGCTAGTGAGACATTGCCCATCTCACTCGCAAATTTCATCATGTTGAATCTCGTAATTGCTATAGTGGCCATGTGAAGAAAAGCTATTCCGGCTTGAGGAAAACTGCCCCGCCTTAGATGAGTCTGAACCATGACAATTGTCATTTGATAAAAAGTCAAAGTATCTGACCAAAAAGCAGCACTGATGGTCTCGACTAGTACTGCGCCGACGGCAGCGAGATTTGAGTCTTTCATCATTGGCTTCTCAATCACAAGTTTTGCGTCAATTGATTGAAGTTTCGAGGAAAGACTTTTAAACTCCAAGTCACACTTCTCAAAACTAGGCGTTTCATCAACTTGAATATCCAACGCTGCCAAGCATTGTTTTAATGCCTCAAAAGCACTTCTCAAATCTCCCTCTTGTGAAAAGGTTCGACTTTGAAGTACCCAGGCAGGAGATTTATCGACCGGAGTTTTGGCGTTTTCGAAGACGATCGCCACTATTCTTTTAGTTTCCTGATAATGTCCCATATAGAGGTAACATTCTGCAGCTCGAGTATAGAGTTGGAGTGTCTCGTCATAGTAGCAGTCGGGTGCGCTGTCATTCCATGGGTTCTCCTGCAATAACCGAAAGCATACGGCATAAAATCTAGCAGCAGTCGGTCTAGCCCCACTTTCAGCAGCGGCTGTCGCGCAATCGAAGAGTAACTTTCTGAATGATTGTCTGTGTGCTACTCGCTCAACAATGACGTCAACACATTCACAGATATGTGATGCTGTCACATCTCGAGATCGCTCATCAGCACTATAGTATTTCATAAGCGTCTGTGCAATGATGAAATGCATTTTGGGGCCATTGCACTCCCTTAATGACGACGCAGCTTGGATGTAGCGATCATGTGCAAAACGAAATCGATCATCGTCCTGTGTTGCGACAATGACATAAGCTTGAATAGCAGCTTGAAGTCCTCCTATGGCGTCTTGTTGAGTATGTGATAAACGATAGTACCGATCCGGACCACATCCGATCATATGATCCTCGGAATCAAACTCGCCACTCATGAGTCTTTGGACTAGTTCAAATGAAAATGTCGTTCCAATAAGGGAAGCCCAGGCAAGTATTGACCTCGAAGCTGGCGGCAATTCGTTCAAACGGCTCGTGACAAATTCGGCGTTCAGTACATCATTGTAACTTTTGGTTTCGAAGTTCTGAAATATCCTGTCGAGATCGTATTTCCAAACATTCTCCTTGTAGTCGTACCATATACAATGTTTCCTGTGGCAACTATCCAACATCTCGCGAATATAAAAGGGGTTACCAGCCGTCTTTGATTGTATAACTGCGGACAAGGGAATAATATCGCCCTTGGGCCGACAAAGAGTGGCGGAGATGTATTCCAGAATGTCGTCTTCAGTTAACGGCTTGAGTACAATTCGAGTGATTCCAACACCATTATGCTTAACGTGTCCTAGAGAAAGTTAGCGGATTTCGTATTTCAAAAGTGCGGGCGTGCTAACTGATACCCTCAGCGCCCGGAGGTTCCAGGATTCCTTTGATTCTTTCAGTCAGAAGTCCTTCGGGACGATAGGTTACAATGATGACCATTTTCATTCGAGCTGATATAATTTGGGTTATCAAATCTAACGATTCGTCGTCCGCGAACTGGAGATCATCTAGGGAAAAGCATATAAACTTGTGTTGCGCGAAAACTCGAAGGACATCCAGGAATGTGTTCATCAATCGCACAGATTTAGTTGATGAGCCTGCTCGAAGGAAGTCTTGGGAACTCTGGCAGCCAAGTGTGAGATTATAAAGACTACCTTGGCTCGAAGGAGAAGAGTCGCGGCGTTTAAATTCTGCTCTGACACTCTTGTTGTATCCCTGAGATAATTGGCCAGAAGAGGAGTTGGCTGCAGACATGGGGCCGAGTAGAAATTCAGGTAGTCCTAGCACTTTGTGGAGTAGTGGCCACGCAGGCCTGACGTATTGTTTCAGAACCGAATGAAACGGAGTATCAGTATTACTCTCCGAGAATACCTGCTTAAAAAGACTTGATAATAATTTAAGCACTGGCCCAAATGGAGTTTTCTTTGCGGAATCGAATTTCGAGCTTGCAAAATATCCTCGCCGCCTTGCTTCGACATGGACTGACTGCACAAGACAACTCTTTCCCAACCCGGCTGCTCCTGCTATGCTTATAACCTCGCATCTACCTCTTCGTCGAAATTTGTTGGTGTTCCGGATACTGGTCAGGCTCCCTACTCCATCAGAGGTCGGCTTAGACCGATTTTCGTCAAGGATACTGTCTGAAGGGCTGTTGAATTCTAAAGCTGGTAATGAGTTGCTTTTCTCCCAAGGCTTCAAATATACATTTGAACGAGTTGGTTCATCTGAGGAGTTATGTTGAGAATTTGCGGTGGATCGAAATTGACTAGAGCTATTTCTTTGCGTTCGGTAATCTGCGGGAAACAACATATTGGTACTAAATGAACTTGTCATTCCCTCGACAGAGCTTGTGTTGTCTTCGCTGGAGAAGTCTCCACCAGCCAAGACCGCTTCAAAGGTCTCGAGGCGTCCAGAGGATAAGCTGGAGCCAGAGGATAAGCTGCTTGGGTCCTGTCTTTGTGACGTGATATGATGTCGAGAGACTTTGTCGATAATCTTGACTACTTCATCATGCTCGTCCGATCTTCCAATCATGATGGCGGGAAGTATGAAAAAAGAAGAAACATCCTTCGTGGCAATACGCCAATTCTTCAAAGCATTCGAGTCTCCCGCCCCCAGAAGTCTCCGTACTTCTATAAGGTCATGTCTTAATCCACTGACGCTGTGATATCGTTCACTAATATTTTTCGCTGTCATTTTCTGTATGATTTTGCCAATGACATCTGGAACATCTAGTCTGATACTCGAGACCAGTGGGAGACGCCGCCCTAAAACACCTTGTATAATATCCATCGGAGTTTCCCCTTCGAAAGCGGGCTGTTGGGTGAGCATAGTCCAAAATAGTATTCCGAGAGAATAAATATCCGTGCGACTATCAGGTTCTGCAGGCATGCGGCCAGTCTGTTCTGGTGACATATATGTAAGCTTAGTCTTCGCGCCCAACTCTTTCGTTAACGTAGACCATCCCGTACTTGTGAGGCCATGTTCGAAAGTTCGAAGGCCTGAACCAAAGTTCATCAACTTGACTCGGCCTGTTTCCGCATTCATATGAAAAGCATCCCCCCTAATCTCTCCATGCACAAGCCTCTGACCATGATGAAGAATCTCCAAGCACTCCGTGGCTCCCACCGCAAAGTCCAGAAAAGTCTGCAATGGTACCACATCACCCGGCGCGAACGAATCATCCCGAAACGCCTCATGCCTATCCCCGACCTTCCTTCCCTTGTACCAAGCGGGACCATAATCCATTATTTTTTGCAGATAGTTGTACCCCGGATGCTCAAAAATGCAGACGACAGTTGGACCCTTGTCACCGTTCTGACTCGGTAGTCTCACCAGATCCACTGGCCTTATGATATGACTACCATCTGGATCCGCAGACCTTATTGCACTTTGACATATATGAAAGGCCTTTTCTTCTCTCAAGGCGTGAGACGAAATGCGCGCGATGACTGGTATGCCACCGGAACTGGTATGTGTGCTCTTGAAACTCCCTTGATCGGAAGCATCGTCATGAAGAATACCGGAATCGCTTCCTCCATGTTCACTATCCGTGTTTCTTGTTCTACTTGTACCCCTAGTTCCAGGTTGGGATAAGTTTTGTTCGAAGCGCGATGTTGTATTGTTGTGCCATTTTGGGGTAGAAGTATGCTTCGTTCCGTAGACCTGCCTTTTTAGAGATTGCTCATCAGTCTTTTTGTCCCAAATCTAAACAGCAAACTTAGATCTGCCCATATGCCCATGGAATTTTCACCAAGTTGTGGAAACTCACCAGTTATCATAGCTAGAATGAAAAGGTTCTTTTGATTCATCCCATGTATAACCAGCAATTTGCGAAAGTCTCTCGAAGATTCTCGGTGGTGGATCTAGTATGCCATCAAAATTGAAATCCTCCCCCATGGGAACATTTCCCTCCATGTTTCTTCGGCGTCCGACAAAGTTCACCCACTTCCTATCATCCCCTACTTTTTGGTTAATGTCTGGGTCGTATTCAGATAAATATGGATAAGATCGGTATTGCTTATATTTCACAGGGATGATGTGTGAGTTATCAATCTTTGACAAAAAAAGTCAGAATCTTCAATCTTGATTGAGATCGATATTTGGCTGTTTGGCTGTTTGGCTGTTTGGCTGTCGAGCTGTCGAGATGGGGATTTGTCTATGCACATGATTGAAAGAGGATTAGCGCATAGTTCTACGTCATGCTATAAACAGGGATGTTTTTTTAACCGAGAAAATCAAATTTACACCTTGACTAACCTCAAGATTTGTTCTAGAAGCATATCACATGTATATTTAATTTAAATTAACAAAAGTCTTCCTTCTAAACTAATAGAATTTCATTTCCATAAATAATATACATCAATATAATAACTTAACTAATTCTCCAGTATATATAATAATAATTTCCAACCCCAAAATATCCATCCCACCTACACAAAATCCCCGGAAAACAACATCCGACATCCGACATCCGACAAGGAACTCACAACTCATCATCCACAAGATCCCACCCCACAATGAGTAACGGGTATACAACCATAACAGTTTTTGTGTACAGTTTCTGTGCTCACTGTACCAGTACTCAGATACCTACCTAGTACCTATATAATCAGGACTTATTCGTACAACCTACTGATAATACTTTTACCCAACCCACACCCCTCATCACTACAAAAGAAAAGAAAGCAAGCAACAATAATGAACAATAAACAACATGCCGACATAATTCCCCATCCCATTCTATCCCATCCCTTCATCACCTCACATCCCCTCAACCTCAAAAACATACCATTCCAAACCCCGAGGATCTGCACTGAGTATGTGGAACCAAAACCCTAATACAGTACAGTACCTACCGTATACATATCATATGCCAGAACAAAAGACTCTTGGAAAACTGGTGGAGTAGAGGTATGGGTGTAGTCATGATCAAGGGGAAATAATGAAGAGCAGCGATGGTATAATTGCACCATGAAATAATTGAAGGGGTCAATGATTTTACTCTCACATCGAAAAAACTGACAACTGACAATTGAACTGTGACATGTAAATTGTGTCTATTAAGAATCTGTTTCCAAACAGTAGCAAATTGACAAGGTCTTCCAAAAAATTCCGCTATCTATGTTCCATAACAGAACTGATATACGAGTTTAGATCGCATATGTGTGTATCTAAGTCGCAATAAGCAAACACCAGCAGATTTAAGCGTCAAAAAGCACCCTTTCGAACTCCGCCATAGGCGAGAGACACACAGCAATTATACTAGGCTCTTCTTCCTTCCTCTATTCCTCTATCAAGCTTCTAATTGGAATCTAGTTGGCGAGGCGTGTAGCTAAATCTTTTTTCTGGAACGCTTGAGTGCCTTCGACAAGTCTTCTCTCAGTGTTCTTTCTGCCATTCACAAAATCCGGGTAATTGAGAGTGAGCTCAACAGCTCCGTTCACAATATGATCTGCTGCCTCAACACCCAACATGAACGAGTGGTCCTGGTTTCCAACCTCGTATCTCCATGAACCGAAACGCCCTCTGGAATAGATGTCTTTCTCTTGGAGCTTTGGCAACAGCTCCGTCAGGACGCCCTCGCGTTGTAAATGTGGGGTTGGGTATCCCTTGTCTAGGAGGAAACATCAGTAAAATTCCGCAAGAGGATTGGATGTAATATTATAGGTGCTCTTACGAAAGGCTCTGTGATAAGTGGAGACAATCTCATCGCCAGACTTGATCATTTCAGTGTTAATCAGACCTTGAATCGAATCCCTAAGGATGTTCTCGACATCGACTGGCTTCTTGGTAGATTGGGAGATCTCCAACATGATGGACCAGTAAGGACCTTCTTGGGGCTCAGAAGACTCTGGCTTACTACCATCTGCATGATACAAGGTAGGAAGCTTGACAGATTTTTCTGGCTGGTTATTTGGGGAGTAATTTGAGAAGATGGTTGCTCTGTAGAATGGGCAGTCGTCCTCAGGAAAGTAGAGCTATGTGATATGTCAGCACATGATCTCGGCATAAATTCGGAATAGAACGAGGAATTTTGAGGGGTCACCGCTTTGGCAGAAAAAAAGATATTGGGCAATAAAAATTGGCGGTGAACTTACCCAGCACTTGTCTCCAATGTTCTCTGGTCGCTCTCCTCTAATGCCAACACCGACAACGTGGGTTGTTGAGTAGAATAGATCTTTGCTCAAAGTAATGAGTGCCTTATCTTCCATCTGTTCGACAAGTTGATCCACGGCCATGGTGGTAATCAACTTCTTGTAGCCAATAGTCTTACCACTCGAGAGAGTGACAGTGTGAGCATCAGCGTTGACCTTCTTAACCTCTCCTTCCTTCCCGAACAAGGTATTCTCTGTTGGTATAGTCTTAGCAACGGCAATCCAGATACCACCAGTACCATCGCGAGCAGGGAAGCGGAAAGTGGCGTTAGGACCCCAGTTTCCAGCGGTCTTGTTGAGGATAACGTTCTTGATGACAGTTTTGACATCTGGAGCTGCGACACGCTCACCGAGCCATGCGCATTGCATCTTTTGTATTATTAGTATATCATCTTATAGCAGAAACAAAGAGAAGTACAAACATCAGTGGTTGGAACTGCCCAGACTTTGTAGTTGTATGGTCTCATAAACAGATCGGCAATTCCTTCACCCATATTTCTAACGATCCACTCATCGAAATCCTTTGGCTTCGTTGTAGCGGTGCGGGCTGCTAATGCAGCATCAATCATGCCATCGACACATTTGACCTGTTCCTCCTTTGGCAGAACGGAGATGTTATTTTGGAATGGGTAAGGAACCCAAAGGTTCTTACAGCGGACATAGGAGACGCGCTCGTGTGTGTACCAATCTTCTTCATTTGGTAAAGCTTCGTCGATGCAGTCGTCGAAGTATTTGTAGTGGGAGAAAATAACATGTCCGCCAACATCGTAGAGCTATAGAAAATAAGTTAGAAAGCCGTATTTGCCACAACTGGATTGAGTTTTGGAGTAACTTACAAAGCCTTCAGGAGTTGTATCGGTAGATGCCAGACCTCCTGGAGTTTCATTTGAGTCAATGATCATCCAAGATGGACCATTCTGCGATTGTGATCAGTAAAATGTCCCCTCGAGTTGGCGGTGTGCAAAGTGAAGCTCACAATTTGATTTAAACGCTTTGCAGCTCCAAGACCAGTTGGTCCAGCTCCAATAACAAGAACGTCTACGTTGCTTCAAAGTCAATTAGTTTAAAGATGTAATAACATTTTCATGGGGCAGAAGATGGAAGCATAGGAGAGGATGAGGGGGAATGGGATAAAAGTGATATACATACATATCTGCCATTTTGAAGTCTATAGTAGTTTCTCTGGAGGTTGAAATTGTATGTGAATTGGAGATATTCTTCGAGTGGGAGAGAAGGGATGATGAAAGGTCTTTACAATGTATTCGATTGTAGAGTATAGGTGGCTAGATGTATCTTCCCTTATGCTCGCTCTGCCAGCAGTATGATTGATAGCACTGGTTGGGGGATCTTGGTGGATTCTTAAAATGAGGATCAAATGGAACTGGTTGGGGAATGTCGGTGGATCCTTAAAATGAGGGTACACCACGTACCTTACCAGGATTAAAATAGAGGGGATTTGATTTCTCTCTAACTCAAATTAATTTTTAACCAGGGTGAATGTTCTTGTTCCCGTCTCCTATGTCTGGAACTTTGAACGACCATCTGGATTGCCGTGTTGACGAATAATGTTGACGAATAATGGTAGACGCTATTACCCGATTAGGATAAATATGGAATCCGAGGAAACATGGGTCAAGAAAGCTTATCTATTGGTTAAGTCTCGGCATAAGAACCTCGAAAAGAGGGATTCTCAAACCTTTTGGATAGGATATTAAAAGAATATATAAAACCTCATCTACCATATCGGAAGAGAGTATTTCAAACAACGAAAAGGGTAAGTATTAATGCTTGCCCACATATGCAATATGGCGTCGGGAACTCTAAAATTTGTAACCTTCTAAAAAAGCGTGACAACCAGATCATCTCAGCATTGTTGTTTAATGTCAAAACAGTGGGTTATGAATATCATTCGAAACATTTTCTACATTTTAATCCATCTCCAGATCCAAATGAAACTATCTCATTATGTTGACGTCCTAAAGTCCTAAAGTCATCAAGTTCATCGAGTCCATCGAGTCCATCGTGGACAAACAGGCTCTCCGCAATATTTGCAGGTCTTGGTTAAGTACCACGATATTGAGGGTTTGCATATCTATCAAATCTACTTAAAATTGTTTCTTTTCTTGATCGACAAAAGAAAGTCTCCAAGTGTCTTCCCGTGTACATCTTCGCCGTTTATTTACTGCACTGCAAGAACCCCTCGGGAAGAATGCACAGTACCGGCGTTGTGATATAAAGTTCCTTACTTGTATTAACATTTCAAACACTGCACTCGTCTGGAAGAGCGTTCGAGTCAAGGCCTCTGCATGAATATCAACATGGATAATTTGTCGATCTCAAAACATTCGAGGGATATACTCAAATGAAAACGGTTGTATGTATAGTAAGCTAAGTAGGCCTTAAGGCAATGAAATCATTGCTGGGCATATCTTCAATAAACGTATCAGTCTGCTTTTGAAGACTTGAAGTTGTCCGGATCTCATCTCTGAGACAAATTGACCTTCCTCCACAATGTGTAAAGTTGGTAAATGATAGGCCGACCATTCTACAGTGCCTACCCGCGAAATCCACCTTTATTTCGGCCAAACACCAGGATTGATGTTGATGGAGAAATATATGAAACGGATCAGCATATTTTACTAATCTCTCAAGTAGGTCAATCGAATTATCATAGAGTTAGCCATTTTGCGTGTTTTGAGCCTTGAGCCTGGAATTATTACCCCTCTGGAGAACGTCAATATGGGGCCATTTAATTAGATTTGGATTTGAGTTTTTTATGAATGGGTAGGGGGCCAGTGATGATGATGATGATGATGCAATGTAACTTTTGATAGACCGTGTTGACCAATGGGCAATGGCAAGGAAAACCATTTAGTTTTTTTCAGGAGGTGGCGCCAGAACCTATATGTGCGGGTATGGATGGGTACGGTGTAACAGCATTCACCTGTTACAAGTGACGAGGCTGAGATTAGATATAATTTAGAGCCAGATAATACTCATAGAGAGCTATTAAATTCCAACAGTTTTCGATGATCAGAAGGCTATGCAGCAGCAGTATGATTTCTTCTCTTCGCTTGAGTTGACTTGAAGATTAATGATTAGCTACCTAGGTACCCTACTCGAGTAATAGGTATTCAAGACGTTGATTGATGGAGGGAATATCGGTTTGTTACTTTTACTTAAATGAGTCGTTTGTGTGGTACTCAGGAGTTAGTACTTGTCTGTATAGTAAGTATATTTTATAACCCTGTCATTTGCCTACAAATAAAAAAAAGGGGGGAGATCAAAGTGTTGCGCGTTTGCCGGTCCTTTTCCAAACGATGTACAGTAAGTATTCTTGAATCTTAACTATTATCTTAACTATTGGTAACCAACCACCTTAGAGCCATATCTGTATTCTAGATTACTTTTTAGCTAGCTATCCATTATTATGGAAATCATTAAGCAAACTCTTATTAGTACATTTCATTCACCCCCTCGAAACCTTCGAGAAGAATATCGCTTGATTCGCTTCATATTAAGCTTTGAATTACTCAGTATAACTCAAAATAGAATAAAACAATCACCAAGATCCTAGTGATATACACAGAGACTCAGAGAGGTACGTATGCTAGATAGATATAATTTTATCTGGATCCAATATTCTGTGCGAATATCCACTTTAAACCTGACTTGTCCATTTAACGGAGTACTCCAGCCAGAGTTCATTGTTCAGTAACTCAATCCAAATCAACAAAATCAACTATCTATCTAATAAATTACCTACCTATCCAAAAAAAAAGGCCACTTTCCTCAATTCAATCATCTCTGCCATTTTCATCTCTTCTCATTCCATATTCTACTCTTTATTTACTTCATTTACTTCATTTACTTGTGGTAGATACACCAAATTTCTATCTTTTCCGACTTCAATATCTCCCTGCAACATTGGCATAAATCTCGATAATCGTTTCCCCTAAAATTCTGGTCTTTCCGATCGTTATCTAGTGCTTGGCACACAAACGCGTACACCCTTAGATTGTGAACTTTGACTTGTACAAAAATCATTCACAGTACTACTCTTTTCATCTCCAACACAATTGAAGAACATCTCCAATTCTTCAACAACCAAATTCGCCATCATGACCGAAGAGAAGGCTCGAATTTCTGGAGAGGTCTCCAGATCACCAGATGCTCCTGTCCTTCCTACAGTTAACCCTGCCGCCGAGAAATCAGAGGCTCCAAAGTCTGCTGTACACCCAGCATTTTATGTCATGTCAGTCATCATCCAATCATCAATTGAGACGACACTTTGCTGACCCTTCCCAAAGAACATGGATTTTCTTCAGTTCCAGTGTAATTCTATTCAATAAATGGATTCTGTCGACGGTCGGATTCCGTACGTTCTCCCTCCTGCTACTCGACATTCCCGTTTGCGACAATGAACTAACAGCAGCTCTGCAGACTTCCCAATTTTCCTCACATCATGGCATCTCACATTCGCGACGTTGATGACCCAGATTCTTGCACGAACGACCAATCTTCTCGATGGACGAAAGACGGTTAAGATGACAGGACGTGTATATCTGAGAGCTATTGTGCCAATTGGAATCTTCTTCAGTTTGAGTTTGATCTGTGGAAACTTGACATATTTGTACCTCAGCGTTTCTTTCATTCAGATGCTTAAGGTATGTTGGGAAGCTGGACGGAGATCTCGCTGCACAATACTAATCCTCGATTGCAGGCTACCACTCCTGTCGCAGTTTTGATCACTAGTTGGGTCCTTGGTGTTGCCGAGCCCAACATGAAGACCCTCTTCAATGTTTCCTTCATTGTCATCGGTGTCATTATCGCATCCTTTGGAGAAATAGACTTTGTTGTCATCGGTGTTCTATTTCAAATCGGTGGCATCATTTTCGAGGCTATTCGAATTGTGATGGTTCAAAGACTTCTCAGCTCCGCAGAGTTCAAAATGGACCCATTGGTATCTCTCTACTATTTCGCCCCAGTTTGCGCCATCATGAACTTCGTCATCGCGCTTTTCTGGGAAATTCCAACCATGACCATGGGCGACTTCTACAATGTTGGATTCTGGACTCTTTTGGCAAACGCCATGTGCGCATTCATGTTGAACGTCTCCGTCGTATTCTTGGTAAGCTAAGTTCATTGCTGAATCACAAATACACAGCTAACAATACCCCCAGATTGGCAAAACCTCCGTTCTTGTCTTTACCCTCTGCGGTGTTTTGAAGGATATTCTCCTCGTCTGCCTTTCCATCATCATCTGGGGAACTTTCATCACTCCTCTCCAATGTTTCGGATACAGCATTGCTCTCGGGGGTATGGTTTGGTTTAAGCTTGGCGCTGAAAAGATTAAGGGTTATCTTGCTGAAGGTGGACGCCAATGGGCAGATTTCGGTTCTCGTCGACCAATCCTCCGCAAGGTCATCGTCTTCGGTGGCATTGTTTCGACCATTATCTTCCTCCTTGGTGGATTCGCACCCTCATACGGTGTTGACATTCACGCCAGCGAATATATCAATGCAGCAAAGAATGCCGTTGGAAGCACATAAAGCGGTTTCTTGTAGGATACCTTATCGAAGCACATTTCTTTCCGCTTTGGTAAAGGACAAGAGAAGTTTGGGGTATAAAATTCTATTGTAATCCGGATAACATACGGCTCAATGGGTTGGATCAATCGAACCGTTAGATGTCCTCTCAAAGTGCAAACGACCATCGGCTGCGCCTCTAGATGCATGTTGTACTTCCAAACCATTTGATATTTAGTGCACGGCGCCCTACAAGTAGTTTGGCTGGCTCTAGCATGGGCACGTTTACATTTCCAAGTGCCGTTTTCTTTGCGATCTTAGATAGATGATATTATTTCTTTTTCATTTTTAACCAAAGCGTTTACAAATACCATATTTGACATGAAATAAGACGAAGATGGATGGATGATATGAGTTGGGATGGGATGGGATGTACATGTATAAAATGGGGGGCATGATGTAAGACTTAGGACCTATGGTGAGTGTAGTGTAGCAGGTATGCTAGCAAAGTTAGAATTACAAATAGAATAATAAAAGGTTTTCAATATTTGGGGAAGTTTCTTTGATTGTTGTGTTATTTTGTTGTTTGTATAATTGAGGGGTTGCATGGTATGGCGAGGTGAGGTGAGAGTCGATGTTTAGAGGGGAGAAGATGGGAATGAAGGGGAGAAAATGGGTCAGAATAGGGTCAGGATGCTGGGGATGGATGGATATGAATAAATCCACAAAATACTCGAGTAGTATGATGAAAGCAATTAAACTTCAAGCTAAGGGGAATTTCTTCGTGGATGGGGGGAAGAGGGGTCTGTGATATACTCGAGTAGATATGATATTGATTATATAAATCAAATTTGGACTTTTCTTTTGGGGGGGAAGAGGAACGGGAAGATGGGAAAAGGAGAGGGAATAGGAAGGAGTGTGGATATGGATATGGATTTGGATTTGGATATGTATATTTCTGGAGTTAAGGGGCTCCAAAATTATAATGTAGGGTACTCAATATTTCTTATTGTGCTATACCTAGGTAGGTACTAGGTAAAGGGGTTGATGCGATGTGATGCTATGTGGTGAGTGGTGAGTGGTGTGAGGTTAAAGATTAGGATTGTATGGGGGAGGAGTGAAATGAAGATTAGAAATTGGAGATTGAAGAAAAGTAAGGAGAGGAGAGAAGGAAAGGAGGAAAGAAGGAAAGAAGAAAGAAATCAATGGTGTAATTTCGATGGTTTCTATTATTATTGTTCACTTGTTTATTGTTTTAAAATTCCTATCATCCATCATCATGTCCTTTCTAGAGAGGAGAAGAGGAGAGAAGAGAGGAAAGGAAAAGAAAAGAAAAGAAAAGAAAAGAAAAGAGAAGAAACCAAGTTCGCCAAATTTCACGAGGAATAGATACAGAATTAAATATCCTGATAATCACAATTAAATTGTGATATCTTATATCATCAATCTATACACTTGAACTCACTTCACTAGTTTCAATGCTAAAGTCAGTATATATCTGGTTTTATATTTACAAATATAATATATTTGATCATTTTTAACTTTGTTTTCCTTTTCTTTTCTTTCCTTTCTTCTCCTTTTCTAAATGAATATCGAAAGAATAGAAATATATACAAAAGTAAGCAGAAAAAGAGTAAAAGATAGACTTGGAATAAATGAGATAGTATAAGACTCGGAGAGCTGAGAAATATGATAATCTAATGATCTTTGACATTTTTCTTCTTTTGTATATATACTGTTTTGGTTTTTTGTAGATATATAGTATTACTCGAGTACAAAGTGAGGATGTAATACTGACATCGAAGTCGAAGTCGAAGTCGATGTATAATCTCGTAACTTGTTATTGAGAAGAGATAGAAATGTTGAGCAGACTGCTGGGGATCAACCTGGGGGGAAATCGCAGAGACAAAGAGGCAAGAAAATGAAAATACCATTGTGTCTGAGGTATATATAACAGATCACAATCGAATTCTCCTCACCTTTATCTCCCGTTTCCGATTGCTATCTGATCTTATCACAGCTTATATTTTCATCGGGTAATGTAATGTCTACATCATCTTGGTATTGAATCTCCAAACTCCCGATCAAGCTAAGTCGGAAAGAACCCGGTTTTGTATAGGTGTGAGGTCGTTGTTGTTGTTGTTGTTGTTGATATTACCGAAATGCAGTATGCAATTTTAGTGTGGTATCTGGTGTTCGTTCGAGTTTAGTCGGAGGGAAGGTGGAAAGGGAGGCGAGGGATATTGTTATTGGTTTTTCAAAACTCGTAAGCAAGTAGTACTGCGCCATCCCATCACCAGCCAAAGCGTCAGGACTATCACCAAATTCCCCAGCTCTACTCCAGAGCCCCCCAAAAAAGAGAAGAAAGACTCGAAATGCCACATATGTACAAAACATCGGCAAAAAGAGCAAATAAAAGAGCACATTCCCCCATCTACCTACCTATCTTTCTTGCGAGTCTTCCACAGCCCCATAATCCCCATCCGTGCAGGCCGTTGCATCACATATCATATCAGAATCATACCACAGGCCACGAGGCAAAGGACCGAGAGGCGGGTTATTTGTTGCTCAAAGCGACGCACAGGGAGAAAGCGAACTACTGGTTGGCTGGATTGACGTACCATCCAGCACGTACACCGGTGGCAGGCTCGGATGTACTATGTAGGAAGCAGCGCGTGATGAGTTTAGCATGTATTTGATGTTCGGCCCGTGTACTTTCCATGGTACTCGAGTATGATATGTAAGATAGGAAAAATAGTTAGAACCTAGTCGAGTTACAATGGTCACGGAAAGTCGAAGGTCGGCGATTAGAGGATTTGGGGAGTATGGCGTGATTCTATTTCTATAGAGTGTCTGTCTGTCCCGATGGACTCTCAGAGATCGAGGAATATATATAGATAGATATATGAGAAGGCCCTTTTACCAGATTATGCAGATGATGCATATGTATCAGAAAGCGATGTTCCTCTAGCCAAGAAACAATCCGAAATTCAACTCATACTGTACTAAATTGTCTCCAATAGCACAACAGACACCACTATTAGCACCATCGAGATCCATATTCGGTGGTACATTAACAATCTAGACTTTGAAGTCGGAACTCGATGGCGATGCGGTTTATAACTCTATAGTCTCCTGGCCCGCTGATGATGGATTAGATGATCATCTGCTGTTTGCTATTTACTCAATGTCTCCGTCTCCGGTCTCCCACACGTCTCTGCCATCCAGCCCCGAGCTCTACCCTGTTCTCAGCGTCCTTTGCAAATGAAGACGTGGCGAAAATATAGTCTCGATGAAATATTGGGTTAAGTGAAAACTTTAGCAGGTATAACGTTGCATTGATCCTGCTGCGGCTGGAAGACTCAATCGCGGTTTTAGCATTCGATTCTAGAGTTAGAGTAGTGCGCACGCACGACATAAGAGGCACCAAGCTCCGTGTCGAGAGCAGTTCTGCTGTGTTTGCCATTTGTTTATAACAAAAATTTCCAAGCTTCATATTAGTCGAACTCGAGTCTATTCTTACCTGGCTTGGAAATACCAGGGCTAGAGTCTTCACAACCCCAAATGGCTTTTACACAAGATATAAACTCGGTCGATATATTTCGTCGGAACATGTGAAGTGTGCGCTCGGCTCTTGAAGGCTTTGCTTTTGAAAGAATTTGAGGAAGCTCCGGATGATACAATATGTTGACCTCGCTTAGCCTCTTGTCCCACTTCTGGTTGTTCAAATGAAAACTAATCAATTGATTCACCTACCGGGTGGCAATTTTAGGCACATTCTGTTATTCCCCGATTATGCTATTAGGCTCACATGTATCATTGTTTGTTGATCAAATCATCAATGAATGTAATGAATATATGATCTCCGCATTAACACTGGAGTACTTAGTGACAGTAGCGCAGTAAGTATACTACAGGAAAAAGTCCAGGCCCTAGGTACAATATAAGTAAAAAAACATGAGAAAAGAAACATCAGAAGGAAACTGCACTGCCAGTGTAACCACGCATGAAAGTGGATGATTGAATTTCACACCCACCCAAACTTCGATACTCTCCTCCCACGCTATGCTCAAATTCCCATTCCATCCCACAGCCGCTCCTCCAGCTCATAGCGTAGCTCCAGACCCCGGAAACGCCATCATCTTCGACTGATCTACATCCGCCAACTCAGGACAGCTGCCCAATGCACTCAATAGCCCGTTAGTTTCCGTTGTCAAAATGCCCAATGGTGCAGTGATATCCCCAAATAGGCCTTTTAAAATATCCGGCGCGGCTAACTGTGCGTTTTGCACGAGGAAGCATGCGAGATTATTTCCTTCCAGGAGGGTTTGTATACTGTATACACCATTTGTGAGATCCGAGAAGTCGAGAGGAGTGAAGGAATTGACTGTGCCGGTATTGCCGCCCACTGTGATGGTGTTTGGGTATTCGGATGTGCTATATGGTGAGGAAAGGGGTATTAGTTGTTGATTTGATGTAGAGAGTAGAGAGAAAATTAGGAAGGAAGATTAGGAGAAGAACAAACGTACAAGAACAGAATATCCTGTGTAAGATCCAGAATGCCATATTCATCACCTATCGCTCTTCTACCCCAACCAGGTGGAATACGTTCCCATCCATCTTTCTTTTGAAATGCCCCACTCTCGCCGGTAACTCCAAAAAAGCTCTTCAGATTGAACTGATCTAGTATTCCTTCTGGAAAATCTGCCGTGTGATTCGCCATAAACCTAAAGATGAAACTTTGTGCCGCATTACTAACCGCCATACCCACAAAAGGGCCGTAGAAAAAATACGGATTCGTGCGAACGCTCCTCTCAAACGTCATTTGGCGTAGTTGAGACATAACCCCAATATCATAATTTGCAGTCGCAGCGTCGGGTTGTAGATCAAACATCTCTTGGAACTGAGGCATCTGTATTATCCAGGAGTTGCCATAAACAAAAAGATCGCCGCGAGTGGGAGAGGTGTCGCCTTCATATTTATTATGCGAACCGATGAGACCCTGGGGCGCACCTAGGATGCCAAAAAGATTCCCAAGAAGGTTTTGGCCCTGGGTAGGTGGTCCGCCAATGCTCCAGCCTGGGTTGAGAGATAGGGGGTTACCGTCCATGACGAGACCGTAGATGGTGAGGAAAACGGCGAGGTCGGAACCCTGTAATTTCGGAAACTTAGTATTAACTTGCAATTGTATATTATGCAGGTATACACTTACCATTCCAAAAACCCTTTCAGTTGCAGTTTCCAATTGAGAAATCGTAGCAAATCCATTGTGAGGTATAAATCCATGGTTGGCTAATGCGTTTAGGCCCGGGCAAGGACCTCTCTAATAAAATTCATTAGCACTGGCTTGCTCTTATATACATCCCACATAGTCCAAAGTATGCGAATGCTTGAAGGATTGAACATACCAAATCTTTAGAAGTCGGGGGTACAAACTCATGTACCCCAGATACGTCAATGATTTGAGCAGCAGCATTGAATCCAGGTGAGGAGCGAGTAGCAAGTCGTTTTTTATGCGCAGCCTTGGCTAGCGAAGCAATGTCTGGGTTCCTGGCAGCCGCCTCAAGAGCTATAGCCGGGAATGCCAGGATTTGTATGGGGAGTATAGAAAAGGCAATTAATGCCAGGAAAAAAGTGCTAGATACCATATCGTTTTTATAAGGTGTGTATGGAAGGAAATGAAGATTCATGTATCATGATGGTTTTGGAAGATAGAGAGAGACAATGCAAGATTATATGTTGCTTAATCTACTTCTATTTGGCAACGAGAAAGGTCACATCCCATTTATTCCCCCATATCCCTGCTACGCCCTCAACCAGAATAGCAGGTAGGTTGACATACATGTAAATCTAGTTGCGCCACCAGATCAGCCCAAAGAACTATCTTGTCACTCATTCGACTAAAATTTTGATCAGATAGAGATACCTCTTCCCACAACTACGCCACTCGCTAGTCGGGCCAGCCTTATCCTCTGCTAAATACGGGAGAATCGGGAAGATATCCATCCGCCCGGGTATACATTGTACTAAAGCGCTAGCTCTTCCAATGATTTATGGTAATGACCTTATAATCACAATTAGTACGACGTCAAACCTACTTCCGCGTATGCCACCGCATAAATTACGAACAGTATGAGCTCACTTATATGGCTATCGATAATAGAATTCGGAAGCTTAGGAACCATGGTCTTGGATTGAACTAAGGTAGGTAACGTGGTGAAGTTACACCAGATATTTGCCTCAATATGTGGCGCGAACACCTCCTTTCCATGACGGGTAAAAAGAATTGTCGGAATAAAAAATGTGTTTCACAAAGATGATAGAAATGACATCAAATGACACAGAAAACGGTGCTAGACTGCTAGTAGTCAAAGTATAACGTGGTGACACCCATCCAAAGTTGTCTTGCCGAGGCGTCGGAACGTGCGATGTTCCAATGTTCCAATGTTCCAATGTCTCTCATTTGTGTTCCCCTACATTTCCTTTCCTCTCCTTTAGAGAATCATTCGTTCCCCATGTCAAGGGGGATCTCGATGATTTCGGGTCGAAAACATCCGAGTGTTAGTGTTTAATTGTTTTGTGTCAACCAAGTCCGTCTGGTTGCTATGTGAGATAAGAGCTTATACTGCTAACCCAAGGATCAGGCCTTGAATACAGCTGTCACGATCGCATATCAATTTTCGACTTTTACAAAACCCGTGTTCGGGTGATTGAACCTTGATGTAACCCATGTTTGTGTGATATGCTATTCCGATGTTCAACTTGAACGTGAGTATTACTGAACACTTCAATTCGTTCTTTAGGGCTGGGAAACTGGAGATAGCCTCAGTCAAAGTAGTCCTCGAGTCCCCGCCTCGCGTTGGGCGTTGAACCTTAGCCGGTTCCACCTAATCTTTCGTTATCGTCCGTCCCAATCCGTGGTTGATTTTGCTTCCGCAGAAAAACAGCGATGCGGTCATGAGAAGAGCTGTAATTCAGCCTCCAATGATCTGTTGACGAAACCGGATACTAAACATCCTCAGGTGTAGATTGACGTTGAATCTCGAAAATCTCTAGGACGTCTGCAGAATTAATGCTTCGCTTGCTCTGAGCTCAATATCACTGGGCTGAGTGACCATGACCATAACGTTCATCGGGTTATTATTGATCTGTCCATACCCTTCTTCTTCTGCCTTATGCACCGCATCTTCCCCGTCTTTGATTTCGCCCACAATACTTCCTCTCCACTGTCGTTCGCCCAAACGAGGTACTGTATTCACATTCAATCCATCTGTACCTAGCATGGTATGAATAGATAGTCCTTTTGTCAAGGTGTGAGAGAATCTCTGAATTTCCGGCTTTTCTGCCACTTTTGCAAGTAAAAGATTCGCATACTGTCTCTGAGAATTTGGCGTCTGGCTCAGTGTCCTCACAAACATATCAAATGGATCTTGACAGATGCCATACACTTCGTGGAGAATCTGTGACCCATAAGCTTGCATAACATCTACCATCGAGTTCCCGATCTCGAAAATCTTCTCAAAAATGCCCATTCCATGGACTTCTATACTTGCGATGGGCAGTGAAGATATAACGCTCAAGATCGAGTGGGCGATCTTCAGAGGGTATCGGACTGCAAGTTCGGGGGTCAGTGAAGGCCTATACGGGAGAAATTTTGGAGGACCATTGGGAAAAGGAGGATCTAAAATCTTGATTAAGAAATGGAAATGATATGCAAGATGCTATACAAAGATGGGATTTGAGATCGGGGAACAGGGTAGGCATAAGAGACCATGAAACTTGTGAACTGATTCAGCTTACACGTCATGCTTTCGTCGGCTGCGATGGAAGAAAGGAGGCCTTGACGCATTGAAGATTGCCAAACAATTAGACGCAGCCATTGTTGAGTAACGAGTATATCAGCTTTCTGTATGACAGTAAGAGACAAGTGAGATGGGTGAGGTAAATTCAGTTGCTGTTGAAGCGCAGTGTATGTAATGGTCGAAACTGGTGCATTGGAAGCTTCATTCCAAGAATCAACGAAATTAGAATCTAATAGATGGTAAGATTGTACCAAGTGCATAAACCCAGCATGGATTTCTGGGGCTTCATATTCGTGTAGAGTGGATGGCAGAGCTGGCGTTTTCGAGAAAGTAAGAGGCTTGTGACGTAGAATAGCGAAAGACCTATTAAACTATTAGAATTTCATGTTCCAAGACAAAGTGAACTTACCTTTCCGTAACATATAATATCCAAAATGTTCTTCTACGACATAATTCCTCGGCCGGATGAAGACCAGAATATTTATACTCTTCGTGTAAGCCTATATCCTGCGCCATCGTTATTGCTTCTCTCAAATAATACCAAGACTTCCTCGACTGGTTTAGCTCAAAGAATGCCGTTGATACGAAATAGGAAGAAATAACAGCAGACAGTGATCTATCTTCAACGAAGTCATAAGCTTGTCGAGCCATGATACATTCATCAAGGAAGAAACGTCCAACTATTTCCCAGGAAGGAGGTCCTGGAGCTAGTAGGCTTTTACCCGACATGTGTGTTGAAGTGATAGCACATAGCGAGTAAAGAAGATTCTTCTCGTGGATCTCCAATGATCGATCGATTGAAGCTCGTAAAGTGGGCATATGCACCAGAGGCATAATGGGGTAAATGAATTCAAGAAACAGATCAAGGCATGTTGGGATTAGATACATGTAGCTGACGCTTGTGGGCCTAAATTGATCTGTTGTGAAGATACTATTTGGCTCATCATTCGAAATCGGTGAGATATCTGACATGATCGGATGCCATTTTTGTCTTCCCGTGTATGTCTGTGTGGTGGCAGAGTTGCCAGAATTGGAAGTGTCTGAAACCCAATGATCGATATCGACTCTAGGAAATCTTCGTTTAGCTGGATGACTATCATAGAGATGGTATAGATAGAAAGGGAATTGGGCCCAGAGTGCTGTCCGCGTATGCTTGAATTTCCGAAGAACGGGTTACACGTGACAATTCTTGGAATTTGGTCCATATTCAGATCTCCTTTTGGGGTTTTAACTGCACTTACAGTTGAATCGGGACACCAAGACGTATTGCAGCGCTACCTATCATTACTTACGAGCCTGGGCCAATACTGCTCCCACCTGAGCCTGAGTCACGGGATTCCACGAAGCTGCTTTTGATATCCCCGCCATCCTGAACTCTCAACATATTAATCACTCTACCACTTCCCCGTTTCGGCCCTCTCTTCTTCGGCATATGCTCTCTCTTGCAGGCCAATGTTGCATTTTCGCATTGCTTGCACGGAAACTCCCCATCACACCGTATTCCTTTATTAATTGATTGTCAACGCTTGAGACTCCTTCAATATACCAAGGACTTATGCTGTGGGTACATGCGAAAGACTCACTTCTTCTTCGACAATGATCGCAAACTTTTCTGGGGTTCGGTATTGTTATACCCTCTGGAGGCATTCCAACTCGTCTTTTGTATTAAAACCACTTTATGGTCATTTAAGAGTGTTTAAAAAATAATGGAGCGAAAGAGATGACGATCGAAGCTTCGGAGTTTGCAATGTTCGTTTTGGTTTGTTGGTTCGTTGGTTCGGTGGATGTTCGGAAAAGCGGGGCAATTGATGCTAGACTCCATATAGATTAGTGTATTGCTAGGGGCCGGAAGAATACGAGTTGGTACAACGTTAACGACGACGATGAAGGAACCTGCAAGTGCCATGAGTGTATGTGTTTCGCTATTTTGTGGTTAACGAACTTATTCATTTATCTCAATAATCTAATTAATCACAAGCATACGAGCGTACGAGCATGTGCGACGACGAGGACGCCGATGATATTCTTTTAGCCGAAAACTTTCACTTCATCATCTAAATATTGGTAAGAGGTCTTTTACTACCGGTACTCGTACTTCTTGACAAGAGATACTGCAATAATCATATTCAATCAAATGGCACTAAAATAAGTGGTGCTAACAGGATTAGACCAAACTCCATCCATCTCTACGCACTCTCAACTTCCGCATAAACAGCTTTCTCAAACTCCTCAAACATTCCACCGGTCTGCTTATCTCCAGTAGGAACTAACTGACTCCCATAAACCCCACTGACCCCCGCCTCCCTATCCGCCCACCAAGCCAAATTCGGAAAACCTCCCCAATACATCGTTCCCTTTCTCCTCCTTCCCTCGACATCCTCCGTGACTATCATGCCACCTAATGCATAATCAGCCCTTGTTTCCTTCGGAAGCCCTGGCGCCATGATGGCCCTCATATCATCAATCTGAAACGCTGCATGTACAATCGCAAGTTGTGTGTCCGACAATTGGCCTTTGAATAATTCATTGTTGCTGGCTGGGTTAAGGAGCTTGCCGTCGGATATGGTGATGCTTTGGACGATCTTCTGGTAAGAGGGCATAGATATATATGCGCCAATACCACCACAATCATCGATTTGGTCCTGTGTCCAAACAACGTCTTCAGAGTGAACAACTGCGCCGGTTGGATTCGCGGGGTTTCCAAAGGGAGTTTCGCCGCCTTTGCGAGAAGTCATTCCAACGTAGCGTGAGAGTAATGAGGGGTGCTTTTCGATGTGGAAGGTTAAATCTTCGAGAATCAAGGGAGTCATGATGTATCTTTGCATGTATTGTTCAAGAGTCATGTTATTAGCTCGTTCAATCATTTTACCTGCCCAATCAAGACCAGCTGGGATGATTTAGTTCATATCTGAGTGGTGCGGACGATACAAGATTTACACTAACTGGAGTATTGAAAGGCTTCGCCGGGCTCAAACATAAGAGGGGTGTTGTAGCGATGGACGAGGGTACCAGCAGTCAAGCTGCACGTTTCACCTCGCGAGGCTCTCCATTGTATGAGCTCGGGAGTGACGTGATCATATGCAAGGCCAGAAGTATGTGTAAGAAGATGCCTACAAAAGAATGTCAATCCTGGAATTATACATCTAATTGAGGCAGCAGGAAGTTTTGATGTACCGAAGAGTAATAAATTTGGTTGCCTTGACTAATTTTGGCGCACCAGTCTCAGGATCAAAACCTTGGACAATTTCCAAGTCCTTGAGTTCGGGTAACAATCGTGCGACATCTTCATCGAGTGTGAATTGAAGGCGTTCAACACATTGCAAGACACATATGGCAGTCAATAGCTTTGTGCAGGAAGCAATCCAGAAGATTCCATCAGTTTTCAAGGGCTCGGAGGCATCGTCCTTGAGCGAATGTGGACCATGGGCTTTGCTGTAAGAAAATGAACCTATCATGATCATGAGCATATGTTACAATATGGTTATTCAGACACGACTTGATAACCATACCTGATTTCTTACTTGCAACCGTGACAGCACCAGGAATCTTGCCTGCGGAAATAGCAGATTGGATTTTGTTCTCAAAAGACTGCATTGTGGGGGTAATACCTCGCGTAAGATATGGTCGTAGAGAAGCAGAGAAGATTTGGCTCAGATTTATATTATAGGATATGATCTAGAGGACCCAAAGGTTCCTTAAATAGTCAATTTGCATCCCCCACCCCACTCAGACATCAGATTTGTCATCATGACTCTGGTCCATACCGAAAACCAAATTGAATGCCCTCTTAAGCTCAAATCGATACCGTGTCGAGTAAGTCAAATGCAACCCCAGCCAATCACAGGACGTTCGCGCACATCCCTGCGATGGATATAGCGCGGATTAACCCCGGGTAGGTTGCTGCAAGAATTATAAGACTCTGCATAGAAGAACCGTTCTCAAAGTTCATTTTTGAGCCCCCTGTTACACCCACATCAATGCTGACATGGGCCCGATAAACGCTATACACCCCAATCATGAGTCTATCGTGCGTATCCCCGCATCTTCATTAGCGCAGCTCCACAAGGCAACCTCAAAAATGGGGAATTTGTACGTTTAGGTGGGGCTGCTGCATATTCGCGAGGGCGAGCTCTCCTTAGGGCCCCAGCTTCCCACATATTATAAACCACGAGCGAGCTAATGACAGAGCGAAGTCTAGCCCTATGGATCAAAAAGGAGATAAGCTCTATTTATGCCGTGGATGTAAATACCAAAGAGGGAAAGTATGTACGTTTCGCAATTCGAGTTTATACGAATCGGTTGCGTAGTTGTCATGAGAGAACCGGTAATTTTGGGTAGGCTAGCTCTAAGGCTTACCATTAGCCATCCGGCTTGTCTATATTAAGGGTCTAGGCAATTATATGCCGTATTTAAAAGACACAGCACATAGAACATGCCGATGAAATGCTTAGAAGTGAGAGTATTTCTACCGAATATAGGTGTTCATGGGATAGTGCTAGAATGTCAGAGGATGTCCGAGGATGGTGTCGACCTCGGATTGTCTAGCAGATTGAAGAGCTCCGGTTAGCATAGCGGATCTCAAAAGATAAACAGAGCTAACGTACAGGTATCACTCTATGTTCGATAAAAACGCTCTTTATAGGGAAATGATTGTGCCGCCATAGAGTGGGAATTTCCATCATACGGCCAAGGCCATCAGCATTTGTGATCCATCCATTTTTCTGCCAAAAAGCCAACGGCTTAACAGCTACATGAACAACGTACCGAGCCAAAATTATATCTTCCCAAAAGTCCGGACGAATTACTACCTCATTATCGAGATGTAAAATTACATAATGATTCAGCAGGATGTGCTGAAAAGCTTCACCGCATTACTAGTACATCGAAGTCGGACTTCAGACTGCATTACCCAGTACACATTCTCAAATTTCCGACGGAAACTTCTCATTACCGACGTTGATACAAGTACCACATGCCTCGTAGAAGCAAAGCACAGTCTCTAAACATAACTTCAGCGCAGCAGTCTCGATTTAGTCTAATACATGTACGCACGCGACCAAAGTACACGAGAGCCAACGCATGGGAGCCAACACGTCTAAAGAGTTTCTCCTTCTGTATTCACTACTAGTGCAATTGAATCACGACTATTATCTTCATAGGGAGGGAGACCTGCTTTGGAACACTTTCCTTGAGACCTCGGAGCTGACACGGTATCGGTTTGGATGGTATGAGGGTAGTAATGCAGTTCTGGTATCTCTCCCACTTAGGATCTTGGGTAAAAATTACTGTATATATACCTTTAGCCGCAAACCTTTCATCGGTGCATTAAACGATTACACGCTGGAATTTGTAGGTTTCCCGCGCAGTAGCTGCTAATTAGAGGATATTCCCCATTACCAGATGAAATGAAGCCGGGAAACGCAGATTTCCCCACCTTGATACCTGCCAGCATCAACATTTTACTATCTTGTGACTTGAGTCTTGTATAGAGGTCTAGAAAAGTTAAATCCGATCCATTTTTGAGGTGATTAAGCGAAGCAGGATGATATGGAGTTGATTCGGGATTGAATCTGAACGGTTCTTCTCATTGCGAGAGGCTGTAATATTCAGCAAATCGATATTGCATTTACCTATCCTATTCGGACTTTCTTGATTCCAGACTAATATGATGTATTATTCTTCCCTTTGCGAACACATGCCGAAGAAATGACTTCAGTATCAGAATGCGAATTGGACTTCCAATATATATTTCGTACGAATGAAGCACAATATATTTGTACAATATTTTCGTGAGATGCTAACTATGCATCTATATGGCAAGTATAACCCAAAGTGAAGAGCAAATTTGTTTTCATGAGGCCCAGAGGCCGAGGAGGGTCCAAAATGTATAAATCTGGAATGATGATCACAGATCCCCCCCAGATGTATTTCCTCACTTGCGAGTCGAAAATCGAGGATCATGGAAAGTGGGATTATCTAATCAATCAATATGTCTCGCGTCAAATTGATCGCGTCTCCATAGAAGAAATGATGCGATTGGACGGAACATGAGACTATCAAGATGCTAGCAGATAGAACGTTTTGTAGGTAGCTTACCTGCGATCCTCGTCTACAAAACAATGTTCCTATATCTACACTTACCAGGTCGAGTTCATCCGACCCACTGATTTACCTATTTATGGAACATTCGTCTTGGTACTTACGACGTTTCGTATAATGAAACGGTGTCAGATCAACGTTGAATCAGCCCCACTGATCAACAAGCGCGCGATTGAGATATGAACGTCTGAGTCATTGGAGGGCAAATCAGCTTTGTTTGATGACATTTCATCTATCGGTATACGTGGATAAAATTGATACGAGTGAAGCAGCTTTCGGAGAAATTGAGAGACATGTTGTATTTGTATTGACTTGGCGCAGATCATTGGATTTCAGGGGCATCCGAATGGTTTTTAATATAAGGCGCGCGTTCGTGGTAAGGATAGTTTGGAATAGAAGATTCGCGTTTGAAAATGCCCAGAAAGGGACGTTGGAAATGAGAGGATGATTCCGATCTAGCAATCCGAAGACGATCTTCGACCGGGGCCCTTTGGCACTTTTGCTTCGTCATCTATACAATCTACATTATGATTGGAACTTTTCGAGATTCAACGGTTATCTCAGCGGGTGAGGGCTGTTTGATGTGCAGTGGAAGAAGGAAAATGAAAGTGAAAGGGGGCTCGCTTAAAAAAAGGAGATTGATTCTCCACGATCTGTTATTCGCTAGGAATGACGATATTACACTATAATGGGAGGTTGATTAAGATAGAACAATCGTCCGCTGTAAAATGGTGTCTAGATTTATCGTGTTGTGGGCGACGACACATGAGTTTCGCGTTGCGTTGTGCACATGCAATGCGACAGCATGAGGATTCGTGTCATTGCTTCTGTTGGAGGATTATCGCCGAAGAAAGGCACGTCGCCGTTCGGGGATTGAACTTTGCAGTGAGTTATTACTGTGAGTAGAGTAGGAAAGTAGTGGAAAGCTAACATGTGGATCCTATCGGATCGTTTCCTCCAAGACCACAAGAAGATCTGAAAGTAGTAATTGCAACATGCCCATCGTATGATAATGAAAGCTATGCTCAAGAACCTCGGAGCAGATATCGGTCATGATGCAGGCTTACACATGGGTAATTTCCTCAGACAGCCGTGATGGGTATCTCCTAACTGGTAATATTCGGGTGCCAGGATTTGTCTTTCGTCCCGATGCGTATGCAGCTCTCTCCCTTTTCAAGTGACACGGAGAGTCCCGAAAAGTCTTGGTATTATCCCGCAAAAAAATGCAACCCCAGTACGCAGACCATATGTCCGTTAATAACTTTAAAGGCCATCATGTCATTTCATGGATTTCCTAAAGTCCAATCTAGGGTCATGTCCAACTTTCGCATATACAACCCAATTTCCTTTTCCAAACCGTACCGTACCTGCAGTTATTCACAAAACGCAATCAAAATATATATTAAACAACGATATCATTTTATCACAACTTACCCAATTCGGATAGACCGCCACTTAACTCGAAACACGATCTCCACAAGACCCTACGCACAAATCGGGTAATCTCTGAGAATCTAATCTAACAAACCTGGTGCTAGACAAGGATCTGCAGCCCTGCCGAGCAAGCCCATTGCCCAATCTCTCGGATCATATCCGTTCGAAAAAGCCAAACCAAAAGAAGGTAAAAAACGATCTTGTTTTGATTTCGTGATTTAAAGGGACCTTTGATTGGTCGTAAGTCGTGACTAATGATTTTAGGAGCTTGTGGCTTACAGTTATAAAGATTTCAGTTACAGGACCTTGTGCTAATTGGTAGGTATTTCCAAATAGGTTGTTTGCTATACTGTTTGCTTACATTTACAATAGATTGTACAGAGCGGAAAGAAGCATGTGATAAAAAGGAGATCTTCCGTCAACAATAGACAGGTGACACATCCTCGAGAAGCCAGAAGGAAAAGATGAGAAACCCATGTTTTCATCCCGCCATATTAACATTATCCATGCTGTATCGAAACACGTTGACAGATCAACTTTGGGAGCGGAACTCCCGATGAGGATATGACACATCTATGGTAGCATCCCGAATGTGAACGTTCCACAATGCACGAAATTGAGGAACCCTGTTGATAAGCCTAATCAACTCGATTTGCTCGCTGGGCGAGCCTGGGACTCTGGGAGGGCCTTAAAATTAACCAAGGACAGTGCAAGCCTTGCACTCCAAGGTCGAGACCATGGCCGAAGATTGGCAGATTGCACGCTTGGCAGATTCCGTTCTTATCGTTATGATATACCCCTCTTCTAATCTACAGTACTGTATCATCAAGTAAGCAGTGGGATGAGGTGTATTACAATGTGTATACCTAAGAGAGGAATAATGATAAGACGTTAGGATATGTACTGTGCCTGACCTGTAACTATCCTCCTTCTCATCCGCATCATCCCCTGCCGAGGACCTATCTGGACGCTCCCATTCTAAGCTACTGCACCTGAAGGTTACTTACCAACCCTGATTCCCTCCAAATATGTAGGTTCTACTCAAAAGACCGCAATTACACACAATACTTTAGCTCAACAAACTTTAATATATAAACCGTCTAATCCCTGCTTACCATTTCCGTGCTGACCACGAATTTCATGTGAACAAGCAGAGGTTACCACATCTGGCTTCCTAGCCGTTTTTTATTGCGTGCTGAAACACGCATAATCATATTCGTTTATTTATCGTCCATTGCCAGCCTGCCACCTAATATCTGCGGCTCCCCTTAAACAAGGTTATAAACAACTATTTTCCTTTTTTAGAATCCCATGCGATCCACCAGACCAGGATGGGAATTCTAGATACGCGTTTTTGGTTGAACTGGCTGACTGAGGGACAAGGAAATTTCCCACCTGCATCAGGCTGCATGACGCACTTTGGAGGAAAATGAGGACAATATTGACGCCTGATCACATGGATTGGTGTGGGAGTTAAAACGAAGGATTCCAAGAAATTACTTGGGTTGATTTGATGATATTTTCTCGTGTGGGTTGGTCTACTTGTGTCAAAAATTTGTTTGACACAATCTACCTCAATATACTCTGCCGGCCACGTCTGTCCTTCTCTGATATTGGCTGTTCGTGGTTCTTCCCCTCGTTACCCGACTCGCCCAACTCGAAACCTAAACCATATATATACCTGCCCAAATGGGATGCATGTCCACCACGGGATTAAGAATAGACATAAGTGTGTACAAAATGTAAGCTTTGAACCAGCCCTGCGAATTTCAATGGCGGATTTGGATAAATTTGTGCTACTCGGCGCACAAATTTTGGTTCAAAGATAAAGAAGATGGCGCCAGCCATGACTTGAGCGCCAGAGAATAATGATACAAGAACTGAAACCCCCGTCAACAGGCAATAAAAGTGATATACAGAATGTAGAAATGCTCAAAAAATGGTTGATGCGCAGAAGGTAAAGGGCAAAGTAAAATGTAAAAGGTGCGCAATAAAATGGGTATCTTCTAAACAATCAATATTGAAACGATTGGAAGACATAAACGAAACATCATACAAATATGATTTGACAATAATTGATGAAGGATGAATAGATAAAGTTGTAAATCGGTGGTCTCGTACTCCTTTGGGAAATTCGTTAGCGAATGCTTTTCAATCTAAGTAAATGATCGGCAGTTCTCTGAAACGCCTCTAATTTCTGCCATCGTTTCGCTTGTTAGAACGTCGTGCCTCTTCTCCCTCTGTAGCCCTTTCCTCACGTACAATCTCCGACACTACAGAATAGTGACGTTCTCGATCTCGTTGAAACTGGCTTTGCTGATTTTGAGTTTGAGAATGCGCTCGTGGTCGGGAATCACTATGTTCGAGTAAGGACGAGACAGTGTTCGAACCTCCTGAGTGCCTGCGTGTTTCTACAGGCGCTGATCCTTGCTCTTGGATTTGTGAGTGAGCTGGTGAAGGTAGGCTTTTATTGCTGAAGCCACTTTCAGTATGTCTATGGCGACTTGATGGGCGGCCATGTGAATCAACTCCGCGAGCTGAAAGATCACTTCGATTTCTTGAATGCCCGCGGCGTCTACTCGATGGAGTGCCCGATATCGAATATCCTGCCTGTGAAAATGAAGGGGAAGTATATTGTGGTCGTGAAGTTGGCGGTGGAGCCGGTTGTTGAGGCCCCGTTGCTTTCCGTTTTTTCGGTGAAGAAACATGATCTAGTCGAATAATTAGCACAATGAAGATACCAGCAGAGTTATAAACGCTTGCCTGAGGGTGTCGGGGGCTGATGGGCGCTGCTCGTACCTGCTTGTGATGTGGGCGGTTGCCAATGGTGAAAGTATATCGAAGGCGAAGATTGAGCTTCCTGTTGCTGCTGGGCGCTTTGCGATTGTGCTAATGGATGGCCTGACTGCCCTGGTAATACATGCATACTAGAAGCTGCTGGAGGTGGCTGGATAAGCAATTCTCCTGTATTCAATTCTGGGAGCTGGGAATTTGCAGTTGCTCTAGCTAAGGAGCCCGCGATTTGCCTAGATCTTGAGCCTGGAGACATCTGATAACTTGGAAGAAATACTGATCCAGTAGGTCCTATAGGCGTTGAAGGTAGAGTGACGGGAACTGGATGTTGACCTCCAAATGCTGGCCGTGAGTCTCTGCGTTGCATTTGCTCAGGTGAAGTATGTTGGCTTTGTCCCGGCACTAATTGCTGATGGACTTGTTGTTGTTGTTGTTGTTGCAGTTGATGTGCTTGCGCCATGTAGTGTTGAGCCCATTCTAAGCTAGCGTTTGGTAGGTTGCCGCCGCCCATTCCAGCAAAAATCATAGGAATCATATATGGGGGGATTCCTCCCGCCAAAGAAGTTCTTAGCATATCTTGCTCGATCTTCCTCTGCTCCAACCTAAGTGCTTCTTGCCTCGTCTTCTCCTCCTCCTGCTTTCGTTTGTCCTCTTCGGCCTTTGCTTGGAGCCAACTCCTCATCGACTCTTCTGCACCTTGCCATTGCTGAGGTGGAGCTGGTAATTGCAATGAACTCGTTGGCTGATTCAATGATGCTGGGACTACTTGTTGTGGTGGTTGTGGTAATGTCATGGGAGGTAACCCACGATGGGAAGTCGACATATTTGCCGATTTTGTAAGTGCTAAAGGAGGAAGAGACTGCGATGTTGCTGGTATAAAGGAAATTGAAGAGCTAGTAGTTGGCACCGCTGGGGGGAAACGACAGCTAGCTGGTGGTGTTGGTGGCGAATAGTCATGGAAATATTTGTAGCCGTGATGGACTGGCTGTTTAATCGTGAGTAACATGTCGGGATGGAGGCATTCACTGAAGCCAAAAAAGGGAAGCAAAAATATGTGTGGAAAAAAAAGCACCTTTGAAGTGATAACGGCGAGGTGCAAATAGGCAGATGCTGGCAAATGGACCAGTCGAACGTTTATGTAGAATCAGAACCACCCCCACAGTTCTCACCCATATTTTCCAGCTCGTATGAGGTAATTGAATGTCTGGGTTGAGCCGTGTATATCGGATAACTCCAGGTGAATTCAGTATTTGGGGTGGTAGTAATGTGTGGGATTGTGGAGCTCAATCCGAGTTCGCGAATCACAGGGCTACAAGTAATGACTCTAGATCAGAAGTTGACAAAAAGGCTACTCGATTGCAGGGACGATCTTCAGGGAAAAGTTGGTGTGTACACAAAAGTTGTGTGCTTGTCAAAAAGAAGTACAATATCAACTAGTTGTAAAGCCTGAAAACGGAGGAGCAGGCGTTAAAGAGTGATCCCACTAAACGCTCGGTACGGACAGTGGTAACAAACCTTGAAATAAACAAAACTGAATCAGGATTGCCGTTGAGCTGGAGATTGTTTGTATATTGCGGAATAAAAAGTGAGCAGGGGTAAGTCGAGGTCCGATATTACAAACAGCGAAGATGGTGGAGCAAGTGGGAATCTCCCTTTTTGAGTTTACTGTTTTGACTCTAGATGTCTGCAAAGGTGTCAACAATATCCTGAGTGATGCAAGTTCATCTTCTCATGATGCGAATGCAGCAAAGTCTTGTCCGAAATGGCAGTGGCAGACTACGAAGATGTGCGCGTGAGAGGAAGATGCATGTACTGCTAGTTCATCAAGGGCATACAGGTTGATGACCTGCTAGGTTCTGAATCACGAGGCCTGGGGCTGAGATTGAGGTAGAGACGAAGCAACGGAGTGTTTTTTATGGGCTGGGTAGGTCGTCCGTAGGGCCACAAAGAAGCAGTCGGATGCATCAATGGAAGCTTATGCCTGCTAAGGCTAGAGTCCTAAATGGTCAGAGCCCATTCTAGTGCTCGAGGGGATCCGTTCCTGATGAGGGAATTGAGTAGTCACAGCATTACGGACGTATGTAAGCTGGAGATTGGCAAAAACGAAATTCCTCACATGTTATAAAATTAGAGTGGCCACCTACCTAGTACGGTATACGTACGGATAGGCTGCGTGTTCGTTGCTTAAAGAAGGGGCTTCTCGAAGCGCGATCACCTACCGCAAGGATTGCAGGGGTAAACCCAACGTTTGGAGGATCAAGGGTTGTGGGAGATGCATGGCTTCTCTCACCCTTATCCACTGGAGCGCACGACCATATCCGGGATGAAGGTTCTTCATAAAGTACTGGTATTTAGTCGGTTGGCCCCAGCAAATACTCTAGTGCCCCATACGTCAGGACGGCCGCGCCCCATAACCAACAATTGCGAGACTGACTAGCTTCCACACTGATTCCTTAGCCTTGTGTGATGTACCATTCTAGGGTCTTTCTTCTCGTGTTTTGATTGGTAGTTTTGAAAGATCTGAATTGATGGTTCATCGGTGGTCGTTAAATCCTGTCTCTTTGAAACACAAGGCAGATCATCAAATTGGACCACTCCGAGTCTGGACCAACCAAATAAGCATCAAATTTTCGCTAAGCTCCGTTATGAAAGGACCATTTCATCTCCCAGATAATGGCTTTTATGAACAAGGGACCCATCATTTTGACACTTGTATTCATTCCAGGTTTCGTGAAGAGATTGATTATACTGTACTATAGAGCTTAGTAGGCGAACCTTATTATCTCGGTTGGGGCAACCTGTAGGTTAGTAGTTAGTCGAACATCAGAGATGACTTCTAACTACCAGAATATGGAGAATTCTTATTTCCCGGACAATGCATTGTTTTGTGTGTGCCAAATTGTAGCGTTTGGAGTCCATTGATTGGCAATCTCCTATAGTAAATTGGTCAGAGCTTGCTTGCCTGGGGATACAGCATCAAGTAATAAGTATCAAAGCTTTGATGCTTGTGTTACTTGATTTCAAGATTTTACGATTTATAGTAAGTACCTGCCTGATACCTGGTAACTTCTCTATTAAGTAAGCTACGGTTGAGCTTCCGAGGTCGGCGTTAGATTCAGCTGATTGCATGAAAGAGGGATTTTAGGCTTCTCTTGTTTGCTTTTCCTTCCAAATGGTAATCATCATTGGCACGGAAACGACGTATGGGATTGTTGCATGCTTATTCCTGTGTTGTAGCACAAAACACTGTCTGCAATCTATTTCTCAGAATGGACAGCACCAGTCCATCGCTAATATTTTGGGAAATCACGGGAGCCGTGGCTTGGCCTGCCAAATTTGTGAGAGATGAAAGGGCGTCGGATGATTTTGATGCTAAAGCTTGATGCAACATCCCCGAGATGCTACGTAGATACTGTACTTTTGTAATGCGATCTGTAGCTTTGCTTTCTGTGTACGTGTTGATATTAATTTTCCAAATTAATTTCTACACGGTTGGATGAGGAGAGACATAGAGAAATAAAGGGGTGAAGCGGTGAAGCGGTGTATAGTCACGGTCACGGAAAAAGCAACGTGTTCGTCGGAAACGTGATTAACGGGTACGGCTACTACCGTAACTGAAAAGCAAATCTGCCTAGACATAATAAAACAGTTTAATCTATCGATATTGAATGTTCGAGAATATTCTTTCATGACGCATTGTTTGGCTAATCTTAAACATGGCCGATATTACAGCATTAAAGTTTCCCAAATTGCTTGGATTCTACTCGAGTAGTTTTATTTAAATCGAGACATTACGAATTCTCAACACCGGTCACAAAGCCTTGTATCCCGTCAACCCGGTTAATGCTTTTTCGTTCCTAGAGTCCTTTCTGCAGTTTTGGTAACTTGCCTATTGCGAAGGGAGGGACGAGCCTCCAAGAGTTCCTAGTGCCGATCTCAGTGAGGCATTCGAGCCCCCCTCCCGTCCATCTACTTTCTTAACTTTGTAAATTTGTGTCAGACTATTCGATCAGTCTAACCTATCATGTGTAAAAAAGGCCTAGATTATTGTAGATCTCACTGTAACATACGATTTTTCTGTAAATCTTTATATTGAGCAGCGGGCCTCAAAGGCCTTCAATCCACAACGGATAAATTCACTTGTCACACCGGTACATGTCTGCCCAAAACATATTTTCGGAACAGTGTGTTTGGTCCGTTGCACAACACATACGGAGCACCCGTGCCTGATTCTATACAAGCGACTCCTTATCCTATGAGCATCCATTGATATCCAAATAACATTATGTCGATCCATCTCTGGCCTTGTGAATATGATGAAGATCTCAAAATGTGGCAAATCAACACGCCACTTCTTGCGTTTTTGTTGATCAGATCCCAAATGGATCTGACCTCCGCTTTCGAACGGCTAAAGACTTACTTCATACAATCTGAACTAAATACGATACAAATCGCTGCCTTGTTCAGTCGATCTATCAATGCGGAAACCCTTTGCTCCTTATGAGGTCGCTAATTTTTATTCCTTGAGCCGCCAAACAAGATTCTTTGGTATGCGAGAAAGATCATATGTTAATTTTCCAAATCGATTTTCATGTATTAACAGACAGATATGTCTATCTAATTAGTATTTAGACAAATTTCACGAAAGGATGCAAAATCCCGCGGATATCCAACAGCTTATCGATAGTCATGCACCAGCCACAAATGATCTCAATTACATACACTCGAAGCGCGAACTCTAAAAACCGCCGTTTTACGCCGACATAAACCTTAAGGTAAGCTCGAGAATACAGATTCGGCGTCAAGCAATGATCATCAACCCACCATTCCACCATTTTCCAAACAAGCCGTGTCGTCGTCTAATACTGCCATACATCCAAGCCAAGCCACAGTGCGAACTGGGCAAGCGAATACAAATGTGAGCTAATGCGCCACCCCCTACGTGCCGACTCGGCAGTGTCTATCTATTAATGGGAACGGTGGAGCTACCGTGTCCAACTGGCCCGGACTTTTCCATGTTCGGAAGAAGCCTAGAGCCTAATGATTTAGTAGTTCCATGGCTCTGAGATCGACGCAATCATTCATTCTTGACATACAGTTTCCCACATTAAATGGCACGTTTTCATCGTTTCATCGAAGATTGTTCAGCACGTTCTTTGGTTCTGACCAGAGCCAGCCGGCTTCCTTTCTTTCTTCTCGTCCAAGATGGATCATTGCAATGAGTCGTGCTAAAGCATCTTGAAGATGAACAACACTGTGCCCGTCTAGAGTTGAAGTTCAACTCCAATTTCCTGCCCTTCCAGAATTCCTATTGAGGGGCTCTGATGCACTTGTATCAGTACGGATGAAAAAGCAAAAGTTTGCATTCACGGCGGCAAATAGTATAAAATCAACCAGGACTGACTCATTCAAAACCACGACTTATGACAAAACTCTCAAGTTTTGGCAGAAACAATGAAAGGGGATATCTTGCATCGAAACTAGGCGGGTACCACTGCCAAAGGTGGCCAGCTTGTGATGGCTTTGGCACCGCTAGGAATTTTGTGAATGAGAAATCCTGGCGAAGGTGGAATTCACAAATATATTATCGCATTCTAGTTCTATGATTATAGTCTTTGCCGCCTGGAGATCTGGAAGCATTATGTGAGCCACGAGGATAGATTTCCTGTCATCCTCAAGTTTTAGCCTGGCTGTATAATCAACAGCGAGTACAGAAACTTTTACCATCGCTTCTCAAACAAGTTCCATGGCGAGCACAAAATGACAGGACAATTGGTTGATGAAGGAGGCTTTGTGTGAGACTTGATGCAGTTCACTTCAATGAGAAGATCACCAAACTTAAAGTGCCATGTGGGCAACATACGCAAGGGCCTTCAACTCTACCATCAATTAATTCAAATCCCTCACCCACCTAAGTTTTAAGTACTAAAGACAGGCTTGCCAATATGGTGCGTGGCTGCGAACGAGAACGTTCAGGCTGACTTCAACTTCTTTCTATCCTTCATTCCCACCTTCTTTCCCACCCATTGCTCATGCCCATATTCCAAGTCTTCTGCAAGGAAGTCGGCAACATCCTCATACTTTGTCGAGTATGACCATAGTACGCTAAACCAAAAGTCTATCCACAATTCCACCCAAAGAATATACGCCAACCAGGTATTGTCAAACGCCGGAGGAGCACCAGCGCTCAATAGTAGATTATGATGTTGCGGTGCATCCAAAAGTTCAACGCATTGTTGTTTCGCATCGGCAGGTACCATGAATGCCACACATAGTAGCGACCATTGTACCTTTGAGGAAGGCATGCTCTCGACGACATCACAAGTAGCTCGATGCTGCTCCGAGAGCCTCTTCGGCATGCTACAGCACACAGGCATATATCAGCCCTGATCATCAAACAGAGCTCTTGCATCTCATACTAATCTTCAATAAGGTATCCAGTACCGGGATATTCTAATACACCCATCCCACAACAAATCCAAACTCCCAATGGTCTCAACTTTTATAGTTGTAAGGTGTACTCTAGTCGTCGGGAAATCCGGTTCTAGGAAGAAATCCCCTCTGCTCCCCTACAGCACTCACCGCATCACACACCGCCCGTGCAATTTTGTGCAATTGCCATTCTTCCCCGCGCTTAACTTGAGTACCCGCAACATTAATAATCCCTTCGACATCATGTTCGAGTAAAGCGTTCTGGATACCCAGCTGATCCGTAGCATCTCCCTCAACTACCGCGTTCAAAGATTCGAATATCAGCCGAGACTAGCGTGCGCAGTTTAGATGGGTCACGCACGTATACAATCACGCTATGTTTGTGTGCGAGCAGGGCGGGGATACAGCGACGACCTAGGTTTCCAGTTGCGCCGAGAAGGAGAACACGCATCTTGATTATTATTCTGTCTGTTTTACAAATTGCTTTCACTTGAAGGAGCAGAGAGCTGGAGATATGTCCCGAGTTATGCGTGTTTCGGTCGTTTTCGGCCGAATCGAATGATGTTGGTTTAGGTGTCGTTCGGGGATGACTCCAACACTCGTTGCGAAGACCGAGTCCTGTTCTGACATATTTGTGAGATTCTGGGGCTCTGGCCAGGGGGAACTTTTGTATTCACACGTAATCAACCGTTTGAGATTGTTGCCCATCGGTCAGCAACCAGAAATAAATGCTCGATTAGGAATCATGCATTGTTACTATTGTCTATGTACCCATCAACCATACTGTACATTCTTTCCAACATCACATTTCCTAACTTACTACTTACTATTCATCCCTATATAATTCTCTCAACACCAATCTACCCAGTCACGGGAGCAAGCAAAAGTTGTCAAGACTCAAAACATGCCAAACGAAAAAATTCAAATGGAATGAAGCCACACCGACTTGTCACGGTTTCCAAAAAGCTCGTTTGAGATATCCTGTGTATATATGACCCTGCATCTAGATCTTTTGATCAGACATCTCTGATAAAGCTTCCCACTGAACCCCAATAATCGTGTCTTTTATCCTCCACTCAACTTACGAAACCAAAGATAATTAAGATGTCTTAAACATCATTAACATTCCCGGTGCACCCGTCAATGTCTTCCAAGGTGCACCGTATGTATTTATCAAACTCTTTTCCGTCGCTTTCAAGGATAAGATGAAATCTCACTCCTCGCGTCGATATTTTAGTTATCTTACCATATCTCTTGCTTTGCCGATAAGACGAATGATTGATAGGAGTCTATTTTGACGTTGAATATAGTTTTACATCCAATTCATGTATGGAATATCGTATTGTA